CCATCTTCTACTGCTTTCCCAGGCCATAGCACAGAGCTGGACTGGAAGAGGAGCAGCCGGGACTAGAATCGGCCCCCATATGGGATGCGGGCACTTCAGGCCAGGGCGTTAACCCGCTGCATCACAGTGCCGGCCCCTGTCTCCCTTAATTTTTACCACAGTCCTGAAAGATAGTTCTTACAATCCCTGTCCTATAGGGTAAATAGCTTGCCTAGATTATAAAGCTTGTAAGTGGTAGAACTTGGATTTGAACATAGGTCTATTTGACGTTAAGAGATGAAGAGGTGGTTCTGTAAATTCAGAGAAATTTGCAGGGTAACTGAATCAAAGTGATCTCATGTAAACTTTGGAAATATTTCTTCTGTCCTCACCACTGAGCTTGCCATGGTCTTTATGACCACATTTGAACATCTGAATGGATACTGTAGTTGATTTTATTACCATCGTGTTTAATTAAAGAAGGAAAACATAGTTGTGTTTAGTCATGCCTAAGACCATGTCACATTCACTAGGGCTCATTCTAGTTTATTTCTTAGCTGCTCTCTCTCAAAGTGCCACTCAAAAAATGTCAAAATTCATGGTTGCTGGTTTCAGTTATGCTAAAAATTCTGGAGTTCGTACCATACAAGTACATATGTTATTCTTTACATTGGTGGATTTTCTACACACATGTGCTCAGAAACAAAAACCAAGTTGCTAATTTGTAAGTGTGGTACTAGAACTAGGTTTCCACAGAACAAAGTTTCAGAAGAACTTGGGTTCTCATCCAAGCTCTGTTTCTTCCTAGCCTTGTGAGCAGCAATCTTTCCCTCAGTCTTGCTGAATTTCAGTTAATCCTCCACCTAATATTAGGCGTAATGTTTACTACTCTACCTACAGGAATGTGTTTTGTGAAAGTCTAAAAATTATTTTTAAGTATTTTGAAAACCATGAGAGTATAGGATTGTGAGATATTATTCATTCATTCATTCGGTAAATATTTACTCCTGTTACAGAGAAGTACAGATGTGAAAAAGCATGACTTCTACCCTCAGCAGAGTCCACTTGGAAGACTGAAATGTGAACAGTGTGTTCTTGCAGTGGGTGCTATAATAGAGCTTTGTGCCAGTTACAACAGGAACAAAAGAAGGAACTCTTTTAAGTGTATGGCTATGCTGGGGAGAAATCAGGGAGGACTTCATAGAGGACGTGGTGTGCACTGAGACTTGAAGAGTGAGACCTACTCATAGTTTTCCTGCTGAACTAAACAGGAAAGAGAATTCCAGGTAGAGGGAGAGCATGTTTGAAATCCCAGAAATGGTTTACTGTCTCTGGAATTAAAATTGCAAGATGAGGTGGTAAAGGCACACAAGATAAATTATGGAGAGTCTTCGAATAACATGCTAAGGAGCTTAAATTATGTACCAGAGAAAATATAAACCCAAGGACTTTGCTCAGAATTTTGAGCAGGTTTCTGCAACATGGATTATTAGGATAGGTCAGTGCACAGGTAATAGAAAATAGAATGAAAAGAAAGATTTTTTTAAATTCTCCAGGCAAGAAAGCATAAAGAGAGGAGATAAACAACTATCAGGTTTTATGTCTGAGTGACTGAAAATATTTATAAAAATAAAGAAGACTAGGGACCAGTGCAGTGGCATAGCGGGTAAAGCCCCCGGCTGCAGTGCCGACATCCCATATGGGTGCTGGCTGGCGTCTTGGCTGTTCCACTTCCAGAGCTCCTTCTCTGCCTGGGAAAGCAGCAGAAGATGGCCCATGTCCTTGGGTCCCTGCACCCATGTGGGAGACCCAGAAGAAGCTCCAGACTCCTAGCTTCAGATCGGCCCAGCCCTTGCTGTTGCAGCCATTTGTGGAGTAAACCATCTGATGGAAGACATCTCTCTCTCTCTCTCTCTCTCTCTCTCTCTCTCTCTCTCTCTCTCTCTCTCTTTCTGCTTCTCTGTAACTCTTGCCTTTCCAATAAAAAGAAAAAAGAAAGAAATCTTAGGGAGATTTGTTTGAAGGGGAGCTCCAACTTCACAAGTTTCATTTGACATTCACGGAGGTGGAAACATCCCGCAAGCAGTTAGAGAAGTGAAACTGAATTTCAGTGCCTGCAGTGTCACTGTGGGAGTCATGCAAGTGGAGGTGAAAGTTAAAGCCAGGAGACTCGATGAGAGCTGCCTGAGAAAGAAAGTAAATGAGCGATAGGGCATAGAAGTTACATCACTGAAGGAAATAGGAAAAGTACCAGGGTAGTGTCACAGATGTTAGGGAGTTGCAAGAAGGGAGATAGTCACCAGGGTCTGATGCTGGAGAGGAAAATAAGAGAAACAAACAAAAAGGTCAAAAGCTAAGAGCTAACCTTTTTATTTGCCATTGAAGAGGCTATTGGTAAACTTAGAGAATCATCACAGTGGAAGTCAGAAAGAATAAGAGTCAGGACTGAACAGATGAAAAAAGATTCCCAATATAAATAAGTATAGCATAATACATTCAGTCTGTAGGTTAATCAGTGGCACCATGTTGTATCAGAAGAGTAAGGTAGGTAAACTGCTATTACCCTTGGTATCCTAAGCAGCACAAGCTTTGATCCAATGAACTGATGAGAATGCTTCTTTCATGATAGTGTAACATGGTGGGTTCACAAAGAACAAGCATCAATGCCTTTATCTTATCTTCAACCAGTGGCTTACTGTTTCTCCTTGGTGCCTGATCAGCAGCAACCACAGAAGCAGGCACTGTCTTCAGCTGGATGAAATGCAGAGATTACCAGGATTTCTTAGTTATGGCATTAAAATGAAGATACCAGGGCAAAGGCAACTCTATGTCAAGCTGAAAATGCACTTCCTTGTACAGCAGGCACAAGCTTTTACCTTAATCCTACTCATGGATTTTTGTTAATTGACCAACACAGAGGAAGGGAACATCCAGCCTACTGGCTGTAAGAGCCCTGTAAAATCATTTGGTCTGGCCCTGCCAAGGCAAGTGCCTGTGGGACTCAACATTCAATAAATCTACAGCAGGCTAATTGTTCAGTTGATAATTTTGTATGGCCTGCAGATGAGGTTATAAATATCCAAATGGCCCTTGGCATAAAAGAAGTTTCCCACCTCTGGTAAAAGAAAGGTAGTATGTCAGACGCATATACTCAGGAGTTCTAGTCACTGCTACACAGCCCTGGATGAAGCATGTAAAGTGATAATTCCTACACCAAGGAGACTACGGTAGTTTAACTGTTATTCATGATACAGTTTTAAGACTTGAGAACTGAGCCCTTTATAAATGTTTCCCATACTCTGCCAAAACAGCCTCACAACTGAATTGAGCTTTCATTGGATAAATAAAAGTTCAGTAGTGATTTCCAGGTTATTGTGAGTCCAAAACAAGCTGGTGATTCTGTGCAGACTATACTTGTCTAAGACAGTCTCCCAATTAAATAACTTCCTTTTCATTAGATTAATCTTATCCAAATAAACAAAGTAATTTAGAAATTCTGTGAGGCCAAAGATTACAACTTCTTTTTAGAAACTTACTAAAATGCAATCTGAGATTATTCCTATGTAAGATGGGAGCTATCCCATTCCCAAGCTTAAAAAAAAAGAAAAAAGAAAAAATGATTGTGTCTCAGATATCTGTGTGAGGTAACTGTAAATTAAACCTAAGCAGCCTATGTTCGATATGAGAGAAAGTTATCTATCTTGGGCTTCCTTCCAGGGAAACATCACCAGCAAAAATTCACTTTCTACCTTTTCGGTGGTCTGATTAATTCATCAAATTTGAAACTGAGTTGATAGTTTAATTTTCCTATTCTGTTGCACTCTAAGTAAAAGGAATAGAAGTTACCAGTGGCTTAAAACCTTTTCTGACCACCAACCTGGCAGGCTATAGAAAGACAGGTCTAGGTATCCACAGTCTTAAAGGCTATGGAAAATGTGGTGATCCAAAGGTAATCCAGTGTCCTTTCTTTAATGTCCAAGTTTTTTCTGCTAAAAATTTTTATTGAGCATTTTATGTGCAGTAGGTTTTGTTAGGATCTATGGAAAATGTAAAGTAATTCAGCTCAAATGGACTAAATAAAAAAATATGTTATTTCATGTAGAGAGATGTCCAAAATTAGGGCAAATGCTATACAGTGAGGACTCGAGTTCTATATTTCTGCAGTTCTTTCCACCTAGGCCCCCTAGGCTTAGTCCTCAGACCAGCTGACCACATAATATAAGCAGAGACAGTTCTGGACATTATGGGCAGATAAGACAATACCTACAGGCAGAAAAAACGAGTTTTCTCTTTCATAAACAGATAGGAGACTTGTTAGCAAGGAGAGATAAGGGAATGAATGCCATCAGGAAACTCAATCTAGCGTGATAAATACTGGACTAGAGGTGTATGTGACTTCTACTGATGGCATCAGAAAGGAAGTATGCCACTCTTCCCAGCTGGAGGGAAAGGATAGAGTCTTGGCAGTCATAATCAGAGAAGATTTAACTTTAAGAAGAGATTATTAATCTAATTTAGAACATGCTGAGTTTGAGGTACTATGAAGTCTCAAAGAAATCCAGTAGACATTTGGAAGTAGATCTTGGGCTGAGAAGTCTGGTTAGAGAAAAGCATGTGGCATATAGATGGTGATGACTCTGAGGATGGCTGAGCTTAAACCAGAGAAAAGCAGAATGGGTCCAAGAAAGAGATCCCTGAAGAACACTGACATTTAAGCATGAGTAAAATTTAAGAGTTGCTTTCAGAAACAGAAAATAAAATGAAAATCTGTGTGGGGGATGGGTGTAAGCCAACTAGACAGGACATTTTTGCATATTCCTACATATGGTTTGGGTAAAGGACTGATAAAATATGGGAATTTTTCAATACTCACTATTTGCCCAGGAGCCGGTACCCTTCCCCAAGAAGTTGGACGAGTGAGACAATCTTGCTGGAAATATGCCTGGACCTGAGCAGTCCCCCACCCAAAGCAGAATTAAGGTTTTAAAATTTCTAAAATGAGTCTCTTCTCTCTCTTGCAGGAGTGGTCACACATTGCTTGCCTTTTGGTTTTCCCGTCAAGAGGGAAAACTAAACCGACAACAAACCATTGAACTGGGACATCACATCCTGAAAGCACATATTTTCAAGGTAAGTAAAGAAGTTAGAGTCTTTTTTCCTTCCACCTCCAACAAACTTTACCTTTATATTGTATATGAAAATCCTAATATTTCAGTATAGTCTGCCTTTTGAAAATATTTCGCTGCAAAGTTGATCTATCTTCTAAAATGCATGGCCTGTTCTTCCCAAAGAAGTATGTTGGCCATCTCACAATTTAACAAATTGGTAGGCTCCCAGGAAATGTATGTGTAATATCATTTAAGTAAGAAGCATAAACACATAATGTATATGTGCTCCACATATGACCCATTAGCTCCTGAAGGCCACCATATTGTTAACATCAACTGCAGGTTTTTACAGTTTCTTAAAAAAAAAATCACTGAAAGCATTTACTCTTTTCATTTTCTTATAATTGTTTTAGTGAAGATTTTAATATTCCTGGTGCCATGATTTTCAAAACTGTTTATCTGGAACTAACATTAACCTTCCTTGAAGCTGCTTCTCCAGATCTCTTCAAATTGTAATCCCAATGGTTTTAAAATTTTTAACTTCCCTTTCTCAACCTTCAAAAGACTGAAATGGTGGACCCAGAGGAGGCCATGTAATTAATCTGTGCATTTATTGTTCATTTATTCAGTGCTCTCTGAGACATCATATTAGATAGTAGGGATACAAACAAAAATCATACAATCCCTAATCTTAATGAATTTAGTCCAGATAGTAGGTTTGGATTAACACACAAAAGCAGAATAAGTAAGTATTTTTCTGACTTTTCTAGCCCATAGCTTACAATGGTGTCTTATAGTTCCAGTCCCTATAATCGCTTCAAGAGTTTTTTTCCCTGATTCAGAATTGGGATATAGAAATATCTTAAAAGTTCTCTGGGTCAGACTTCCCCATGGGATGCTGTTAAAGCAATTCGGGCTGGGGGTGTGGAGCAGCAGGTTAAGCCGCTGTCTGTGATACCAGCATCCCATATCAGAGCACTCTTTTGAGTCCCAGCTGCTTTGCCTCTGATCCAGCTCCTTGCTAATGTGCCTGGGAAAGCAGCAGAAGGTGGCCCAAGTACTTGGGCCCCTGCCACTCATGTGGCACAGCCCTGGCGAATGTAATCATCTGGGGATTGAACCATTGGATGGAAGATCTCTCTGAGTTTCCCTCTCTCTCTGTCACTCTATCTTTCAAATAATTAAAATAAAACTTGTTAAAAATAAAAAATAATAAAGCAGTTATCTTCAAAGAGAATGATGGCATCAGGAGCACCTCCAAGAGCCTAGCAAAGTCTTCCCAAAATAGCCAGAGAAGCCTGTTCATCAGATAGACAGAAGTGAAATCCACAGTGACAAGTCCCTTATTTAAATCATGGCTGTCTTGTATGACAGATCATTTTACCAAAAATGACCTTACCCAATTACCTGTTGGAGCAGAGTGGAAACAAACTAATAAGCAACGTATCTCATTCTGATTTCAAGCAGATTGAGAAGTATCTACCACTTCCATGAAGTCTAAGATCCATATCTTTCAGTTAGCTTTAAAAAGATAGCTTAAGTATTAATCTTTAAATATCACCATCTGCATAGGATCAGATGCAAAGATGAAGGTGATACCTGCCTTTGCTGTCCCATTAAATAAACACCATGTGAAATAAATGCCACATAAGCATCATTTGACCAGCTGCCTTTATCCAGTTTGTGGAGACCTGCATTTAGACTGTACACTCCTATCATTTAGCACAGTTTTATCTTAGGTTGATGCAGACAGCACCGTTGCCTGAGACGAGACTGGCTCCGTGTGTGATTAAGGCCATAAGTACTCTGGCACACAACATAGGCTGGTGACATGACTGCAGGCTGAAGAATGAAGACCTGGACTATGGTTTTCCTGTTGCAGGAGTTTATTGAGTCCTTTAAATGCAGCCTGTTGATAGCATTAACTACTTCCAGACTGCTGAGTTCTCAGTCCTCACCAGCTAAAGGTCGTGAAGAGACAGACTTTAGGGTTGTGAGCAGTTCCGCTTAGAACTTTTAATTGTAGTGACATATAGTCCAATTTATACTTATTTCCAATTAATTTAAAAATTCCTTTATTTATCTTTATTCATGGAAAATCGAATCATTTTTAACATATGAACATATGAGAAGTTGAGAGTCTATAATTCTGGATATTTGGAGAGTTTTCACTTTTGTTTTCTACAAATTTATTGACATATTTCTTATACACTATAAAATTCACTTACTTTAAGCATATACATGTCAATGATCTTGAGTATATTTATGATTTTTTTAAAGATTTATTTATTTATTTGAAAGTCAGAGTTACACAGAGAGAGGAGAGGCAGAGAGAGAGAGAGGTCTTCCATCTGCTGGTTCACTCCCCAGTTGGCCACAACGGCCGGAGCTACACCGATCCGAAGCCAGGAACCAGGAGTTTCTTCGAGGTTTCCCACACGGGTGCAGGGGCCCAAGCACTTGGGCCATCTTCTACTGCTTTCCCAGGCCATAGCACAGAGCTGGACTGGAAGAGGAGCAGCCGGGACTAGAATCGGCCCCAATATGGGATGCCGGCACTTCAGGCCAGGGTGTTAACCTGCTACATCACAGTGCCGGCCCCAAGTATATTTATGGTTGTGCAACTGTCATCACTACTGGAACATATCTGTCAACCTAGAAATTAAACCTCAGGCCCATTTTAAGTCACTTCTCACTCTCTTTTCTTTTAAGGTTTATTTACTTATTTGAGAGGCAGAGCAACAGAGAGACAGAGGAAGAGACAGAGGGGGTTTTCCATCTGCTGTTTCATTCCCCCAAATGACCACAATCTCCTGGGTTGTGCCAGGCTGAAGCCAGGAGCCTAGAATTCCACCTGGGTCTCCCATGTTGTTAGTATGCACCCAAGCACTTGGGCCGTCTTCTGCTGCTTTCTCAGGTGCATTAGCAGGGAGCTGGATCAGAAGTGGAACAATCAGCCAGGACTCATATATAGTGTCAGCATCGCAAGCAGCCATCTATGTGCCACAATGCCAACCCCTCACTCTATTTTCTATCTCTATAGATTTTACTTTTCTGGACATTTCACATACATAGAATCATATACTATGTGGTCTTCTATACGTGGCTTCTTTAACTTACCATGTTTTCAGGGTTTATTAATATTGCAGCATAACCTATACTTTAATTCCTTTATTGCCAAATAATTTTTTATTTTGTGAATATGCCACATTTTGTTTATTTATAGTTGGACACTTTGGTTTTTTTACACTTTATAATATTGTGAATAATACTGCTATGCACATTAGCATACACATTTTTCCTTTTTAATTTTTTAAATGCAGTTACTTTAAAGTGAGCAACTCAGTTTAATTTAGTACATTCATAATGTTAGGGTAAGGTTTGTGTAATGGGCATATCTTTTTTTTTTCTTCTTTTTGACAGGCAGAGTGGATAGTGGGAGAGAGAGACAGAGAGAAAGGTCTTCCTTTGCCGTTGGTTCACCCTCCAATGGCCGCCGCGGCCGGTGTGCTGCAGCCAGCACATCACGCTGATCCGAAGCCAGGAGCCAGGTGCTTTTCCTGGTCTCCCATGGGGTGCAGGGCCCAAAGACTTGGGCCATCCTCCACTGCACTCCCAGGCCACAGCAGAGAGCTGGCCTGGAAGAGGGGCAACCGGGACAACCGGGACAGAATCCGGCGCCCCGACCGGGACTAGAACCCGGTGTGCCGGCGCCGCAAGGCGGAGGATTAGCCTAGTGAGCCACGGCATACCTCTTAAATTTTTCTTTAGCATATATACCTAGAAGTAAAATTGCTACATCATAAAAATATCTGCATGTTTAACATTTTGAGGACTTGCCAGTCTGTTTTCCAGAGTGGCTGCAGCATTTTGCAATGTATGAAGGCTCCATTATTCACACCTTTGCCACTGGTTAGACACTGTCTTTTTCATTTTAGCCGTTTTGGTGGATGTGAAGTGATATCTATTGTGGTTTTTGTTTACACTTCCCTGATGACCCATGTTGTTAATATTACAATTCTTTCATAATCCTCCAGTTGCTATTTAGATTTTTGGTTTTAAATCTAGGAAGAACTTGAGTTACGGTGTTTTGATTAAAATACCAGAAGTATTTTGATCTAGTTTATAATGCAGGGTGTTTTCATTCGGTTGAATCTAGAAGGGTTGAGTCACTAGAAGGGTTTTGGAGTATTCTTGTAATTAGCTCTCTAAGTAGTGCTCTGGACGGTGTTCCTTTGGTTACCCGAACCTATAGCACTTCTTCCCAGAACAGAACTATAGGCCAGAGGAAAATTTTTTAAGTAGAACATCAATAAAAAGTATGGATTCAAATGCAAACTCTGCTGTTTTAACTTAGCTAGGCCCAGTTTTCTCATCTATAAATTAGTAACAATAACTGCAAGATTCTTATAAAGATCATAAATATTGTATCTGTAGATAAAAGTACATTATAAAATGCAAAGTACTACATATATATATAACACAAGGTTCTTTGATCATAATTAGTAGTGATGACCTTTTTCCTGAAAATAAGATTTAATAACAAGCATGAATTCCATGTGGTAACGTCACCCTCTCACTTTAGACTTTCGTGGTATCCTCCGTAGCAGTGGTTGACAAACTTTATGTAAGGGGTCATAAAATCTTGCAGCCGGATAGCTGTGCTGTCGTAGTGTACATGCAGCTGGAGACAATACAGAAATGCATGGGTGTCACTGTATTCCAATAAAATTTGATTTACAAAAACAGGTGGAAGGCCAGATATGGCCTCAGGCCATAGTTTGTCAACCTTTTTCTAAGGTGAAGGCACTATTTATCAGTATCCTTGTGCTGTGAACAAACAGGGCCATGTGGACTGGTCAGATAAGAACAGTGGTAATTGATTTACAAGTGAGTCACTGATATGTCTGTAAATAACTTACTTTAGTGAAATTCAATAGAGAAGCTCAAAAGTTAGTTTTTGCCATAATCTTCTTGATAATATGACTTTAAGCAAGTTATTTTATCTTACTGTTTCTGCTAACCTTTAAAATGGAGGAAATAGCATTTGTCTCATGATGGTTGTGAGGATTTATTCATTATTTTTTTAAATAATTCTTTTTTAAAAAAGATTTATTTATATATATATATATTTATTTATTTATTTGAGAGTCAGTGTTAGAGAGGGAGAGACACAGAGAGAAAGGTCTTCCATCTGCTGGTTGACTCCCTAAATGGCCACAACAGCTGGAGCTGAGCCAAATCAGAGCCAGGAGCCTCCTCTGGGTCTCCCATGCAGGTACAGGAGCCCGAGGAGCTGGGCCATCCTCTGCTGCTTTCCCAGGCCATTAACAGAGAGCTGATAAGAAGTGCAGCAGCCAGAATCCAAAAGGGTTCCCGCAGGGATGCCACTAAGGCACAGCTCTGGCCCCAGTCTAATTTATTATTCTGTATGAAATGCTTAGAAGAGGGGCTGAGATGCCTCAGGGCTGCATATATGTTAACTACATATAGGACAGAGATTATCTCTGGGGAGAGCGGAGGTTGGGATAAGGAACAGACATGAAGCGAGCTTCTACTCTAATTGTTAGATTTCATTTCTTTAAAGAAAAAGAGAGCTGCTTTTTAAAATAAGATATGCTGTTTAAAATAAAAGAGAAGCTGCTTTTTTATTAAAATTGAAATAATCTAAATATTCAACAGTAGAATACGAATTAAGGATATATGAGTCAGCCACATGCTGAAATGCTATACTGTTAAATGTGTCCATTGAGTTCTCTAAGCATTACTCCCAGAAATTATGGTTATTATAATTTTTTAATTTTAGAATTTTCATTGTCACTTTTTCATGGTTTCTAGTTTTTTCTATCAAAATTCTCAATCTTGTCTTGGTTTCTTGAACACAGTAAACATAGTTATTTCAAAGTCTATGTCTCAAGATATGGAGCCTTGAGAGTTGATTTCTGCTATTTTGTTTGTTTGTTTTTAAGAATTGCTTGTTTGAAAGAGTGACAGGGAAGAAAGGAAGGAGAGAGAGAGAGATCTTCCACCTGCTGGTTTGGTTCCCAAAATGCTCTCAACAGTCAGAGCTGGGCCAAGCCAAAGCCAGGAGCCAGGAACTCCATCCAGGACTCCCACATGAGCATCGGAAACCCAAGTACTTGGGCCACCATGCTCTGCCTTCCAAGCACATTAACTTGAAACTGAATAGGAAGTGCAGAGTAGCCAATATGGGATACAGACGGCGTAAGCAGCTACTTAACCCACTTTGCAACAACTCCCACCCCTCTTCTACTATTTGTCCCAGTTTTCATTGATATCTCATTTCTCGTGTGCCAAAATATATTTTATTTTGTTCTGGTCTTTGCATTTGTGAGTAATTTAAAGCTAGGATTATATTATCTTACCTTGGATAGAATTCATTTACTTAGTAGTTGATGATCACCTCATTCCATTTTCAAGGACTGAGGACATTTAAATTCTGTTGCAGTACATGTGAGAGCCTGCCTATTTCTACTTCACCTTTGTTCCTGGGATCAGGTCCTTTGAAGGAGGTAGGGTCCCATACCACAGTGAGCAAGTTCACCAGGGAACACCTCCTCCCTTGATGAGCCGGGTCCTATGCTCTAATTCCTGTCTCCCTGGATGTCAGAGGTACTTGTAGGTAACTCTGCTTTGACAAACACACACAGGAAAAAGCAGCTCCAGGTGGATCTCCTGGGCTCCAGTCTATCCAGACCTCCCTCAGTAATTCTTCTCTAGCTTCTTAGTCCCCCCATATTTTTAAGGGGATGTTTTTAAAATTTTGTATGGCTATTCTTCGTTGTCCTTAGCAAGAATGTTGTTCAAATTGCCTAGATAGGGGCTGGTACTGTGGCATAGAGAGTAAAACTGCCGCCTGTAATGCCAGTATCCCATATGGAAGCCAGTTAGAGTCCTGGCTGCTCCACTTCCCATCTAGCTCTCTGCTATGGCCTGGGGAAGCAGTGGAAGATGGCCCAGGTCTTTGGGCCTCTGCACCTGAGTGGGAGACCTGGAAGAAGCTCCTGGCTCCTGGCTTCAGATCAGCCCAGCTCCAGCTATTGCAGCCATTTGGGGAGTGAACCAGTGGGTGAAAGGTCAACTCTCTCTCCCTCTCCCTCTCCCTCTCCCTCTCCCTCTCCCTCTCCCTCTCCCTCTCCCTCTCCCTCTTCCTCTCCCCCGTCCCTCCCTCCCTCTCTGTAACTCTGCCTTTCAAATAAATAAATAAATCTTTTTTAAAAATTGCCTAGATCTACCATTAACAAAAAGGGAAGTCCACTCAAGTCCTCTTAAGCAAAAATTACAACTCAGCATTCTGGGAACATCCAAATTTTCTCTAAAAGTCGTAGGATATAGAAAAACAAATTACATCAGGTCCAGCACAAAAGAGATGTTAAGCAGTTGTTGCTGGGAATTCTGAGACAGAAACCCCCTGAGTCAGGTTGTTCTCCAGGACTGGTCTCTGTTCCTTCAGTGGATGAGCGTCTCTGGGCATGGACACTGTGACAGTTAGATTCTGCTTTCATTCCTTAGTACAGGAGCCTAGAGGCCACTAACTCCTGATGGTGCTTTTTAGCTCGGCTAGTGATTTCATTGTCTCTATTTTTTTTTCAGGGTTTGAGTAAAAAAGTTGGTGTATCATCCTCCATCCTGCAAGGTCTCTGGATCTCCTATAGCACAGAAGGTCTTTCCATGGCATTGGCGTCTTTACGAAATCTCTACACTCCAAATATCAAAGTAAACCAAAAAATTACAAATAAGTTAAAGAACTGACTGTGGAACAAATAAAAATAGAAAGTCGCTATTTAGTTGATCTTTGACTTGCTCTCTGTTTCCTCTCACTGACTAGCCTTTTACTGATAATTTAATATATTGTGAATCGTTACATCTTATTCTGTGACTCAAAGACTGACTGTGCTGACCTTCTACCTTCTATGAGCTGACTCTGACAAAGAGGGTCCTGCTGGTTCTAAAGAGTAAACTGACCTCAGGGAGTTTTTTGGTAGGGCTTTCAGACAGGAGGTCGCCTACCAGAAACTGCTCGGCACTGCAGTGCGAGTGCATTTGCTCTTGCTCCTGAGCAGTGCGTAGAAGGAGCCATTTTGCATTGCCCTTCCAGAGGCACGCTGTTGCAGGAGCAAGTGAGAACACGGACTGAGCACTTGCTGAATGCTGCTAGGCGCTGGTGTGGGGTCTCAGGTGATGTAGTAACAGATAACTGAAAGGAAGTAACTGCTGCTTGTCTGATTATTAATTCTGTTTGTTTACATATTTCTAGGTTAGCCGACTACTGATTCTGGGAGGTGCCAATATTAACTACCGGACAGAGGTTTTAAATAATGCTCCAATTCTGTGTGTCCAGTCTCATCTTGGTTACACAGAAATGGTAGCCCTGCTGCTGGAGTTTGGGGCCAATGTGGACGCCTCCTCTGAAAGTGGACTGACTCCTCTGGGCTATGCTGCGGCCGCAGGGTTCCTGAGCATCGTGGTGCTGCTGTGCAAGAAACGGGCCAAGGTAACAGTCGCCCACCGCCGCTTCCTTCCCGATGTGCAGTCTTTCTCTCTGGTCACCTCGTGCGGCCAGGTGGAGTATATCGGGCAGCAGATCAGAGGGGAGGCTTTCGTGGCACACGTCCAGTATTTGCTGGCTTGCTCTGCCTGTCAGCAGCACCTCTGGACGACTTTCAGGCCCCTGAGAGGCAGTTAGGAAACTGCACTCATCAGCAAAAAGCTCCCTACCTAACTACTGAGAAATGCCTTCCTGGGCTCAGATGGAACTCTTTTCTAGAGGAGAAGGAGGAAGAAGTGGGAACATCATGGCCTCGTGATGTTTTGGTTCAGTCCTCAAAAAGGAAGGGAAGCTGGACTCATGAGATTGCTTTGGGAGTTGAGACCAGGGACTCTCAGTGAAATCCCAGAGTCTTCGATGTTGAGTGTGACACAGTGATGGCTCATCTACATCACATTCCATTCATTGGCATTAATTCCTCTAGAAACAGAAAGATAAGTGGGACCTAGTAAATTCAGATCTCAGCAAGGTTCTTCCTGAAGCCCAGCCCTTATGCTGCCAAGCCATTATTTTATTCATCTTCCATTGCTTTCCCCAAACAGATATGTTTGTCACTGTATGTTTCTCAAAATCCTATCACACCTCTTTCACCCTCCTACAATACTGAGATTGAGTTCTTCTCAGTGTGCCTTAGAATTGCCAGTCCTTATGTAACTCGCCTTCCCTTCTGCCTCAAAGGAGTATATACCTTCCTTTCCAAAACACTTGCCTACACCTGTACTCTTGATCCCAGTAGGTTCCTCTTTCTTTCACATGTTAATACATGTTTTTCTAAATCCACACTACATTTTTTCTTGGTTTCTACAAATCTATTATGAATGGGGGGGTGAGGCATCACTGTGTCATAGCGGGTAAAGCTACTGCCTGTGGTGCAAGCCTCCCATATGGGTGCCAGTTCAAGTCCCGGCTGCTCCACTTCTGATCCAGCTCTCTGCTATGGCCTGGGAAAGCAGTAGAAGATGGCCCAAGTCCTGGGGCCCCTGCACCCATGTGAGAGAGTCAGGAGAAGCTCCTGGCTCCTGGCTTCAGATTGGCGTAGCTCCAGCCATTTGGGGAGTGAACCAGAGGATAGAAGACCTCTCTCTCTCTGCTTTTACCTCTGCCTCTCTGTAACTCTGTCTTTCAAATAAAATTAATAAATCTTAAAAAAAAAAAAAAAACTGAATGTTTCCCAACCTAAAAATGAAACTTTCTTCTCTCCTGATAACAAGAGGCTATGTCCCATCTCTTCCATTTCACATCCCCCTGTTCTGAGTCATCCCTAGTAGCTGTCTGCTTCCTTCCCACTCCTTAGACATGTGCAGTCTGACTACCAAGAGTGAGAAAGGAGCAAGTCAGTAAAGTCATAAGCTTTGCAGTCAAACACAGTGGGGTCAGATCCACAACTGGGTCCAAACTTGCCTTATCTGAGGTCTTGTCCATGACATTCAGCCACTCCATCTCACATTCTTCCTCTACAAAAAAAGAATTCATAGACTCAGTGTACAGATGAGAAGAGAAAAGCCTTTTTAAAAAACATATCTCTTTTAATTTCATGCAATGCCTAATAAGAAGAAAATGCCCCAGCCTTTCGGCATTCAGATGAGCCCCCCAGAAGTCGTCAGTGACTGCCAGTCACCAGATAACGGCAGCTTTTTCTCCTTCCCCGCCCCTCTTACCCTCTAGTGTTGGTAAGGTGAACTTGTAATATTTTCTCCCCCTCTTTTCCTTGTCCTACTGTGTTTGTTCACTAAGATTTCATCCTCTGGTCTTCCTCTCCATCCCAGTTGTCATCATCAGTTTTGCAATGAAATACAATTGGGTTCCAGTTCTCTCAGGTCAGTTGGGTGATTTTTGAACTCCAGACTGCTAATTCCTGAAGGCCCGGGTTTCACATTCCTAACTGCCGCTCACAGTTACACTCAGGTGCCTCACTGGCCCCTCCTCATCCTCTTTATCTTGTAACTCCTCCTCTTCCTGGCTTTTTCAGATCTACTAATATAACCCCCATTTTTCTTAAAACTAAGAAATCTGTGATACCTTCCTCTCCTTTGCTCTTCCAAGTTCATTATTTATGTAACCAAATTGTTTCAATTTCATCCTCAGAATAATTTGATTAGCTATTCCTTTGTCTCCATCACAGCTGCCACCATTCCTGAATCATTCGTGGTATCTTCTTATGTAACAAACCGTTTTCTCAGATTCTGTTCTTATCTGTCATACACCAGTCCCTTAAATTTTTAAACATCTTATTTTGAAACAATTTTAGACTTTCAAAACATTACAAAAATAGTACAGAGAGTTTTCATGCTTGTTTACCCTCCATCCAGGTTCCCCTAGTGTTACCAGCATAAGTAACCATGGCTCAATAATAAAAACCAGAAAATAAGTGCTAATATAATACTATTTTTTTTTTAATTTGAGAGACAGAGAGCCTCATCCACTAGTTCACCCCCCAAATGCCTGCAACCACCAAGGCTGGCCCAGGCCAAAGCCAGTAGTCAGGAATTCAACCCAGATCTCCCACATGTGTGGCAGGGACCCAACTCCTGAAGTCATCAACTACTGTTCCCAGAGCAGCAAGAAACTAGAGTCAGAAGCCAGAGCTAAGACTTGAACCCAGGTACTGTGATACAGTATGCAGGCATCCTAGTGCTAACCAAACAGTCACCATGATTATAATACTGTGAACTGGTCTACAGACCTTACTGCAGTTGTCCTACTAATGTACTTTTTCCATTTTCATTCCATAAACCAACTCAGAATACCACATTACATATACTTACTGTGTATTCTTAGGCTCCTCTAATCTATGAGAGTTTTTCAGCCTGCCTTTGTTTTTATGATCTTAACAAGTTTGAAAAACACTAACCAGTATTTAATATGGCTGATAGATTCTTATGAGTAGATTGAGTTGATGAATTTTTATCAGGAATATCATGTAAGTGATGTTGCATACTAGACTTTGGGCGGGCATTTAGCCTATACTTCCCATATCAAAGTGCCTGGGTTTGATGCTCAGCCAACTCTGGCTCCTGACTTAAGCCTCCTGCAAATGCAGACACTGGGATGCAGCCATAATAGCTCAAGTAACTGGACTTCTGCCACACATCTAGGAGACCGAATTGTGTTCCAAATTTCTGGCTCCAGCCCCAGCCCAGCCCCAAGCCACTGTGGGCATTTGGAAATGAATCAACAGATGGGAGCTGTGTGTGTGTGTATCTCTGACTCTAGAATAAACTTTTTAAAAATGTAATAAAACAAAGAGACGGACATTTGGTACAGCAGTTAAAAAAAACACCTGGGACAACCACATCTCATTTCAGAGTACCTGGGTCTGAATCCCAGCTCTGTTTCTAATTCCAGCTTCCTGCTAGCACACACCTGGGAGGCAGCAATGATGACTCAAGTGCCTGGGTCCCCAGGACCCTTTCCCAAATCCTAGTTTCAGCCTTGCCCAGCCCCAAGTATTGCATACATTTGGGGAGTGAGCTAGCAGATGGAAGATCTTTTTGTTTATCTCTGTATCTCTATTTCTGTCCCTCTGCCAATCAACTAAATAAAAATATTTTTAAAAGAAATAAAATATAGCACTTGAGGTACATGATACAATATGTCATTTACAAAAATTTATTTATTTGTTTTGAAAGCTGGAGTGACAGAGAGGGAGAGTCGCAGAGAACGGGAGAGATCTTCTATCTGCTGATTAGCTCCCCAAATGCCCACAGCAGCCAGGACTAGGCCAGGCCAAAGCCAGGAGCCACAGATTCTAACCAGGTCTCCCATGTGAGTGTCAGAAACCCAAGTACTTGGACTATCATCTGCTGCCTCCCAGGTATGTTAGGAGGAGGCCAGATCAGAAGCACAGAGTAGGGCTGGCACAGTGGTGTAGCAGTTTAAAGCCCTGCCCTGAAGTGCCGGTATCCCTGTGGGTGGTGGTTCTAGTCCTGGCTGCTCCTCTTCCAATCCAGCTCTCTGCTATGGCCTAGGGGAGCAGTTGAAGATGGCCCAAGTCCTTGGGCCCCTGCACCCACGTGGGAGACCTGGAAGAAGCTCCTGGCTCCTGGCTTCGGATTGGCATGGCTCTGGCCATTGTGGCCATCTGGGAATGAGCCAGCAGATGAAAGACCTCTCTCTCTGTCTCTACCTCTCTCTGTAACTCTGTCTTTCAAATAAATAAAATAAATCTTAAAAAAAAAAAAAAAAGACGCAGAGTAAGCAGAATTCAAGCCAGGCATTCCAGTATGAGATGCAAGCATCCTAAGTGGCAGCCTAACACACTGTGCACCAACACCCACCCTGATATGTCCTAACTAAAGGCGATATTAACATTGATCATTTGGTTAAAGTAGTGTATTCCACATTTCTCAACTCTGAAGTTACTGGTTTTCCCTTAGTAATTAAGAAATCACTTCTAGGAGAGTGAGTCGTGATTAGGCAGATGGATATCTTGTTTCTCATCACATTTGTGTGTACTAATTTTTGGAGCTATCATAGACTCTTGCTGTAGCAATTATGATTGTGATTTTTGCCCAATATTTTCTATTTCATCATTCATTTGACACTTATTAACTGGAATTCTATAAGGAATAAGTGTATTTACTTATTCAATTATCTATTGTATCACTGCACAGTCATGAATAACTATTTTATTCTGTGGCCTGTACTCTGTTACCATTATTATTCATTTTGTTGCTCAAATTGTCCCTGATTTGGCCATTGGGAGCTCCATCATGTTGGTTCCTGTGTCTTTTCAACTTGTCCACATTATTTTCTAAGTACTTCCTTGATTTCTGCTACCAAAAGATATTCTAAACTGGCCTTTTACTGTTGCTGCCGCAGCCCCCAGGCCTGGAATCATTTCTCCAAGAGCCATGGTTTCATTTATTCATCCCCTTGGTTTTTGAAAATTTAGTTCTGAGCATCCAGACTCTCAGTGACTCTTCACTACATACTGATCAAAATTCAGACCACTTAGCCTGGCATTCAAAAATATCCGTGCTCTGATCCCAAAAGACCTTCTCAAATTTGTGACTTAAACTTACCTGCTACCATTACAAAAGCTAGATTAGGTTAACAATTTCCTATCTCATCCAGTTGAGATAAGCCCTCCCTCTGAATCCTTCCTAATTCTAACCAGGAATTAATTTTCCTTCCTCTAAAATTCTATTGTAGTTTTACTTTTCCTAGGACATTTATTGAATATTCCTTTGTAAGACAGACATTTGTCCCATCAGTCCCATCTCCCCTTTCCCTACCTTATTCAAGAGTCCTTGAGAGGGGCCAGTGCTATGGCTTAGTAGGCTAAGCTTCCACCTGGCGTGCCAGCATCCGGTATGGGCACTGGTTCATGTTCCAGCTGTTCCTCTTCCCATCCAGCTCTCTGCTATGGCCTGGGAAAGCAGTGGAAAATAGCCCAAGTGCTTGGGCCCCTGTACCCATGCAGGAGACCTAGGAGAAGGTCTGGCTTCAGATCGACCCAGCTCCAGCTGTTGCAGCCATTTGGGGAATGGATGGAAGACCTTTCTCTCTGTCTCTCCCCTCTCTTTGTAACTCTGCCTCTCAAATAAATAAATAAAATCTCTTAAAAAAAAAAAAAAAGAGCCCTTGTGAGCACAATCTATGTATCACTCTGTTATTTACCTTTTTACTCCGTGTGTACCTACGAGGCCTTCAGTAAACATGGGTTCTGCAGATGACTGGGTGGAACCAGAGTCACTAGGAAAGCCGGAAAGAGCTCAGCGTTGCAAGTGCTGTCGGGGTCAGATAGCTACATACGCAGTAGAAAAAGCTGCTTCAGCTACTGAAATTTGTAACCAAGGACTTTCTAGTAGATTGATCAACATAAATGTGTAGCCAACATGTAAGTGATAAAAACTGCTGTTAGAGCTTAGTCAAACCTGAAGCTCCAAGTGCCTATAGTCATTTTGCCCAGGTCTTTGAGATTCTACGCTCCCATTGGAAGAGGAAGTGGCCTTTGCCAAAGCTTCGTGGTCAAATGAGTTATTCATGATATGCTTTGCTTCTTTGGAAGATTAAACAATTGGAACTTCAAAATTTTTTCTCCTTTTCATGATTTCAAAGATAGTTTTTTGTGCCAACATAGCTACGAGTCAGTTCTTGCTCTTTATAAAAAGAACTATTTGAGGACAAAGGAGAATGTACCTCAGGACAACAAAGCTCAGGCAGAGAATTTTGTTTTTTATTTTTCTGTTAATGTGAAACAAAGGCCTGACATTCTTTTCCAGAGAAAAACAATCCTCTCTAGAGGGACATCTAGCAGAGCTGTATCTCAGAATCCTGGGGGTGAGAAAGGATGCGCTTCGTCGGCCAGACATTTGAAGGGGGCTGGCATGACTAGTTTGGGACTACTGCCTGAAGGCTCAGCTCACGCCGCTCTCCGTCCTCTCGCTGTAGGTGGATCACCTGGATAAGAACGGACAGTGTGCTTTGGTCCATGCTGCACTCCGAGGTCACCTGGAGGTGGTCAAGTTTCTAATTCAATGTGACTGGACAATGGCTGGACAACAGCAAGGAGTGTTTAAGAAAAGCCAGGCCATCCAGCAAGCCCTCATTGCTGCAGCCAGCATGGGTTACACTGAGGTAAGAAGAAAACAGGAGGATTTTTTTCCTATGCTATGGATTGAAGGGCCTAGGGAACCAAGAGAAACTGGTTGAATTGTTAAAAATCGCCAGCTTCCTGCTGATCACTTGAGAGGCAGCAGGTGATGGCTAAAGTCCCTGCTACCCATGTGGGACACCCAGATGGAATTCTCAGGTCTTGATTTTGGCCTGGCCAGTCACAGCTGTTGCAGGCATTTGGGGAGTGAATCACTGAGTGGAGGATCTTTCTCATCACTTTGTCTTCCAAATAAATAAACCTTTAAGAAAAAAAAAAAAGTGATGTCTGCATCCCGTATTAGAGTGCCGGGGTTTGGTATCTGCCCCTGCTTCCTGCCAGTGCAGACCCCATGAAGTCATGATGGCTCAAGTGACTGGATTCCTGCCAGCCACATGGGAGACCTGGATTGAGTTCCCAGCTCTCAGCTTCAGCCCTGGATAGCCCAGTCCTAGCCACTGTGGGCATCTGGGGAGTGAATCAATGCTGAGAGCTTTCTCTTTCTCTCCTACCCCTCCTCCCTCTCTGTCCCCCCTCTCCCCACCTCTCTAACCAATTAATAATTTAAAAACAAAAAAGCTCAGAAGAAACAGGTTTGATTCCCAGCTTTGCTGCATATTACCTCAAAACCTCAGACAGTGTGCCTCATCTCTTAGAACCTTATTTTCCCATCAGTAAAATAAAAATAAATTCTCTTTTATAAGACTGGTATGAAGGGTGCTTTGTAGACTATTAAACACTGTGGAAATGGTATCCTTGCTAATTTGTTAATAACAAACAGTAATAGCCAGCGCAGCGGCTCACTAGGCTAATCCTTCGCCTTGCGGTGCCGGCACACTGGGTTCTAGTCCCGGTCAGGGCACCGGATTCTGTCCCGGTTGTCCCTCTTCCAGGCCAGCTCTCTGCTGTGGCCAGGGAGTACAGTGGAGGATGGCCCAAGTACTTGGGCCCTGCACCCCATGGGAGACCAGAAGTACCTGGCTCCTGCCATCGGATCAGTGCGGTGCGCCAGCCGCAGCGCGCCAGCCACGGCAGCCATTGGAGGGTGAACCAACGGCAAAGGAAGACCTTTCTGTCTGTCTCTCTCTCTCACTGTCCACTCTGCCTGTCAAAAATAAATAAATAAATAAATAACAAACAGTAATAATAGTGGCAAATGTATGGAATTGGTACTTCACTAGGAAATATTTAACTGACCCTGACGGTGAGGGGAGTGGGGCAGGTGTGTGTGCATGTGTATGTGTGCATATATACTTAAATTTTATAAACTTGACTGATAAAAGAATGTGTTACAAATGACCATGAAATACACAGTATTCTTTATGAAATACTTTTGGTGGTTTTTGTCAAATTTGTATCTGCAACTAACCTATGGTTGTAGTTTAACCAGGATTTAATGAATGAAATTGCATCCCAATTTGCTCTTTTTCCAGTAACTTTACTGACATTAAATCTGATATGACATCTACTGTTCAACTACTTCTCATCACACTGTTCAGGAAACTGAAACTTCAGGGACAGGCTTTTGGCTGAGTGGGTAAGATCCCAGGGTTCAAGAGCAAGCTCTGCTCCTGACGCCACCTTCCTGCTAATGCAGGGCCTGGGAGGCGTTGGTGACAGCTCAAGTGATTGGTTCCTGCCACCCATGTGCAAGACCTAGGTTAAGTTCCCAGCTCCCGGCTTGGGCTCTAGGCAGGGGATGTTGCCAGCCTTTGGGGAGTGAAGCAGTGGATAGGAGCATGCTGTCTCTCACTCCTTTCTCTCTCTCTCTCTCTCTCTCTCTCTCTCTCTCTCTCTTCTTGCCTCTTACATTTTTGAAAAAAGGAAAATAATTGCTTTACTCTGAAGACATACAGGTCCTCAATTTTCTCCATATTTATTTTCTGGTATATTTAAGTTGGAAGGATAAGTGATTCTCTATTTAACTTAGATATGGGGAATATATAATAATTAAATATTTATTTATTTGAAATGCAGAGCAACAGAAAGGGAAGGAGGGGGAGAGAGAGAGATACTAATTTTCCATTAACTGGTTTACTCCTCACATAGCTACAATATCCAGGGCTGGGCCAGGCTGAAGCCAGGAAATAGGAACTCCATCCAGGTCTCCCATATGGGTGGAAATGGCCCAAGCACTTGGGCCATCTTTTGCTGCTTTCTCAGGCACATTAGAAGGAAGCTGGATCAGAAGCAGAGCAGCCGGGACTCAAACCTGCACTCCAACAGGGAATGCTGGCATAGTAAGTGGAAGCTTAACCCACTGTACCACAGTACCAGCCTCAGAATATATAATTTTTGGTAGTCGTATACATGTAAATGAATTGTGTCCCTGTGATAGGAGAGGTGTTCATCATGGCTGCATTGAGTTGCTTTGCTAGGTCAGTTCTGATTCCTTGTGTGTGCAAGAGACTTAGTGATACTTAGATCAGTGAGATGTCTTCCAACTCTCACAGGCTAGTGTAGTAGTATAGTTTTCCACTTGAAGTCTGAGCTGACACGCCTTCTTGTTTCAGATTGTCTCCTACCTACTTGATCTTCCAGAGAAAGATGAAGAGGAAGTGGAACGAGCCCAGATTAACAGCTTTGACAGTCTCTGGGGAGAGACAGGTACCACTCATGCACAGTTGCTCTCTTCCCATGAACATATTGTGTTTCTGTGGACCCTCCGTATTTCATATCCTTTTATTTTCTCTGGCTTACATTTGGCATTCTTCTGTCTTAGGACTTTTGTATTGGTGATTGATTCAACCCAAGTAAAAAGTCCGGTTCCCCTCTCAGTCCTCTTTCCCTCTGGAGTCTCCATACCATCAGCAGTCGTCTTCCAAACAAAACTTTTCTCCTACTCGTTTCCAAATACTTTTAAAAGACTGAAAGTTTTCCTTGCAACGTTCCAAACCAGAGCAGAAAATAATTGTGGCCTTTCTCTGTTTTTATAGCATATTTGTAGTAGTTAGGGAATAAGTATTTCTCTCATCAGAATAACTGTTCACCTGCAGCTATAAAACAGTAGGGTACCTTTTTATCCCCACCTCTGGGTTAACCAAGTGTTACTACGGTAGTGTGGTTTCTGACACAGTAAGCTGAAAGCATTATGAGCCAAGCTGCTATCTGGATGTAAAACGGAGATATCGCCCTGTAAGACCCAGTCCCATGCAACTCCTCTTGGTCTGTAGCAACATGAATTATGCATATGTGCTGCCGAAGCGAGCACAGCAAAGTGAGTTATGTATGTTTGGTTCTCACACACTCCACGAACAGAAGCTCCTTCCTTGTGGCCTTTGCAGAAAATGATTGTTGCCTTTCCTCCACATCTAAACTGGATCATCTGGAGAAACCTTAGTAACCTTTGTATTTTTATGAAACCAAGGCAGTGAAAATGGTAGAAAAACCACAGATATGTGTCATATTTGCCAGTAGAAGTAGATCAATATTGAGGTGGCCAATTTAGGGAGAACATTTTACCAAACAAGAAAGTTACACATTTTGGTTAGGGTAAGAGTGTTGTTAAAAGTAAGAGAGTCTTCTTAAATTCATTTAAAATTAATAATGACCTGTGGAATTATGATGCTTCTTCCCCTGACAAAATGTTATATAGGTTTCATGACTGTTTTAAAATCATGTGAAATGATCCACAGCTTGGGAATTTGCTTTGCAAACAATCCCTCCGTGTGTAAGAGCCAAAGAAAGCAGATGCCAGGCAGCTGCAGCTTAAGAGCCCATGACAGATTAGAGGAGAATGTGCAGCTGGAAACAGCTGCTGTCTGTGGACACCGCTCCCCTGAGGAAGCTGGGGGACAGGCTGAAGGGGAGCGGCATCTTAGGGCTGTGGAAGGCACGTGTTGGGTAACTTCTGTCAGCCCAGCCTTCCCCAACATGGTACTGCCATACCTCCCAAAGACTTGTTGCCAAGGCCATGGGTGTGTAACTACCAGGGGCAGCACAAAAAAGTCATGGCCCAGTGATGAGATTGGAGAGAAGTTACAAGACTAACAGTCTTAGTGTTGAATCATTCTAGTGCTAAACTTGAAAGAAATCCTGTAAATGTTCAAGAAGAGTGTGAACGAAATAGAAGACTTGTTTTTATCTATATGAATCTCTTATGAGAATAAAACTTTATGGCCTCAGGGTATTAAAAGTATTTCATGCTTTAAAATGTAATTTTATATTAATTTATAGACATGTGTATCATATCTCAAGATTTTAAAAATCAGAACTTCATGTCTATAATCAGAATTATATTTAACTTGGTTATTTAACTACAATAATTTAGTATTATAAATGTAAAATGGTACTTAAATATGAGTTATGAAATATTTGTAATATAATTTCTAGATCTATGAAAAAATTATTTGAATTCAGAAAAATTTCTGGAATATAACAATTGTCTTTGCAGTGTGAAAATGATCTTACAACCCACGGCTAGTATAGGATGGGTTTTGAATTGCTTTTCTGTCTGCAGTGAAGAGCTCACTGAGCATATGTATGTTCCTTTCTAATTTGCAGCACATAATCATTCGAAGTTTGTAACGACCCATTGATTTATGATGTTTCCTCCATGACAAAATCCAGCATATATTTTTGCATGTACTCATAGAACTGCTCAGTGACCTTCAGCGACCTTTGATAGTCACCTAAACAACATAACTTTTACCTAAAGAAAATGCAGTGGTCACAGTGTTTCCAACAACCTGTTTCATTTACTACATCAGATCTAAGATACCAGTAACTATAAGAAACTGTGTAACCATGATTTTATGTGCCACTGCCAACACAAAAACAAAAACCTTCTACTAGTGCTGGCATCGTGGCACAGCAGGTTAAACTGTGGCTTGGGATGCCTGCATCCCATATCAGAGCGCCAGTTTGAGTTGTGCTTCTCTGCTTCTGATCCAGCTTTCTGCTAATGCCTCCTGAGAGGCAACAGGTGATGGCTCAAGGGCCTGGATCCCTACCTCCCATCTAGGAGACCCAGATGGAGTTCCAGGCTCCTGACTTTACCTGGCCTGGCCCTGGCTATTGCAGGCATTTGGGGAATGAAGCAGCAAATGGAAGATCTTTTCCCTCCCCTCTCATTCCCTCCACTTCCTTCTCCTCTCCTCCCCTCCCCTCCCTTCCCCTCCCTTCTTTTCTCTCCTCTCCTCTGCTCACTCTCTGTCTCTCTCTCAGACTGCATTTCAAGTAGATGAAAATAAAAAATAAGCATTTTAAAACAGGTTCGCTAATGTTAAAAACTCATTAAAAACAACTTCTGCCAATTAAGCTGATATATTTCTTTATCACATCAATTGTAAGATGCCTCCTGACTTCAGAGATGTTAAAATGTAGGGGGAAAACTTAATGTTAGAATCAATGAAATGCATCTTAATGTATAATGAAATACTGAGGTTTCATTTTACAGACTGGATTTTCTAAAACCAGGTCACTCGATGTTCTGGTTGCTTTTGCCCTCCCTTTGCAGCCTCTTTATTCTTCAGTATCTTCCTACATCCAGCTTTCACCATCTGGCTGACCTCTCCCACTCGATAGGGTTTTTCATAGACTTCTCACAGAGCAACATGGAAGAAACACAAAGAAGGTTTGCTACTCCCTCCTCTCCCTTGTGCTGTGAGTGCAGACCAGAACCAGTACTAAAAGCTTCTAGCAACTCTGGAGTCCAGCCCTGGAAGTGGCCAGAAGTCCCAGCTCACAAAATAGGCTATGTTCCCTTAATTCCTGCCTTCATTATTTGCCTAGATTATGGCGATCACCTCCTATGTAATCTTTCTTCCTTTAGCCTCTTCTTTTGTGTTTCATCTCCCAGACTTCAGTCAAAGGGACCTTTTTAAGTCATAATATGTTCATATCACTTTCCTGGTTACGGATCTTCATTCACTACTTAGAGAATTAAGTTCCTTAATGTAGTATAAAAGGACCAGTCATAGCTACAACCATATGTATTAGCAGTAATTCCAGTAACAGTGAACATGTTGGTTCGCACCTCAGTGCCTTTTTGTGTACTTCCTCTTCGCTGAGTACACCCCCACAGTCCTGCCATGCCTGTGAGTCTCCTGTCTAATCTCTCAGTGTCTAGCTCAAAGTATCATTGCTTCCCGGAGCCCTTCTCAGATACCTCTCTCCATGCCACCTCCAGACCATGGACTTCTCTCTTGTGCTTTCCACACTGTATAATAATTTATCTGTCTGTTTTTCTCACTTGACCATGAGTTCCTTAGACAGAGACAGTGTCTTAACAAATAGCTCCATAAATGTTTAATATGCTTTGGATAGCAATGATCAGTTTATGTCTCCCCAGCTACTTGCCCATTAATTTATATGACCTGTCCGTGCTGTATTCTTTCAAGGTGGAAAACAGTCGTTTGCTTCTCTGCATTCTACTTGGTGTCAGCATCCCATCCGAGCAGATTCTGGCTCTTTCCCCAATGCTGAGCTGTATCCTGTCTGCCTCTTCAGACTCCTTAGATGTTTCCCTTTGGAGAAAGATCACTTACGTCTCATCAGATGCTGACAAGCCAGGGAGCAAATTCTGTTACTGGTTTCTTAGGAAGAGATTTGGCTCCTAACTGCTATGCTTGGTCTATGAATCAGTTTGTTGTTTTACAGAACTAGCTTTACCTTAATCTCTTTTCTTTCAAAAAGTTCTAAGAGTTTTTGATAAGATTCATATAAAACCCAGTCAAAGCCATTCCTTGTGCTTGGATTTTTAAAACAGATTCCATTTTACATAAATGTGTTGTTCTGAGATGAAATTGGCCAACCATGTTAATGGCTGAGCCCAGCTATCAGCCGAAAGTTGCTGCCAAATGACATCATAATCTAAGCAACAGAGATGAGACAACAAAGAAAAGGGCCGGATGGAACACTCCTTTCCATGTGACTGTTTTCCAGTGAGGGGAAAGGAGCCGACCGGAGCAATATCATTGTTCGAGTGGACGGGGTAGCTCTCCACATGGGTGCTGTTGTGAATATTCAAATGTATTCTGTGAATTGGTGTCATCAGTGAAAGGCTTAATTCTGGAATATTGTCTATACTTTTTGTGAAATAGAATGCATTTGGCCTCCACACATAGGGAGGTTTGCTATATGGCCCATAAGGTGCTTTATATGAGATCAGAACATAGGAGTTAGAAATCGTCCATATGGTTTGTTTTATGCACCAAAAAGCTGATTTTTCCAGTTCCTAGCAAATGACTATCCCAGTCAAATTCTTAAACTACTCTTGGGTCTTGAACCATAGAGAAAAGTAACAAGTTGCCTTTAGCAACTACAATATGAATCTGGGAAATGGAGAAACGAAGTGGGCTTGAAGAGCAGGAGAGGTTCCGAGTAATCACAGCGCTGACTCCTCTGCTCACAGTCAGGGCTCAGAAATGGCCTGCGCTTCAGTAGGACCAGACCTCTGCCCTTCTGGGAGGAGCTGAACACAATGCCAATAGCAACAGTTTCAGAATAAACTTGAAAATAAGTACACATCTGTCTCTCTCTCTCTCTCTGTAACTCTGACTTTCAAATAAATAAATAAATCTTTTAAAAGAAATAAAGAAGTACATGCAAGACAAACCATAGATAGGGATGAACTAAGAGTGCAAACATCTTCTGAAATCACATTTTCCTTCACAAGACCTTCTTATGCCTGGGGAAGTAAAAGATTCCTGGAAGATTTATCTTTGTGGAAATTTATGATGGTTTTAATTTTGCATATGATTCAGTTGTAGATATATTTGGCAAATCCCAAAGACAAAAAGTACTATAATTTGTACTTAAATTTTAAAAAATGAATGAACATTTGATTTGAATTTCAGTTGCTCCTCTGATTAGATTCCAACATTTACAAACTGAAATATCTGAACCTACCAAATATCATTTCTGCCGGCACTGTGTCATAGCAGATTAAGCCATTGTCCATGATGCCAGCATCCCATATCAGAGTGGAAGGTCGGTCTCTCTCTCTCTCTCTCTCTCTCTCCCTCTCTCCCCCCCCTCTCTCCCCCTCTCTCTCCCTTTCCTTCTCTCCCTCTCCCCTCTTTCCCTCCCCTGTCCTTGTCCCTCTCTCTCTCTCTTTCCCCTCTTTCCCTCCCCTGTCCCTGTCCCTCTCTCTCTCCCTCTCCTTCTCACCTTCCCTCTCCTACCCTGCATTTCAAATAAATAAATCTTTAAAAATAGATATTATCATTTTCTGATTTGTCATTGAAATAAGTAATAAAACTAAAAGAAGGACCCATTACTTATCACATCAACTTTCCAAGTCAGTTTGAAAAATTAATTCTCTACCCTCTTTCTTTAAAATGAAGCATAAAAGAAGGTATTTAGCCTAATCGTTAAAACACCCACATCCCAAATCAGAATGCCTGAGTTTAGTTCCCATCTCTGACTTCCGACTCTAGTAGCCTGCAAATGGAAATGCTGGGGGGCAGCAATAATGGTTTAAGTAATTGGGTCTCCACTACCCATATAGGAGACCTGGATTGTATTCCTACCTCCTGGCACAGGTCCCAGCCCAGTCCTGAACATTGCAGGCATTCGGGGAGTGAACCAGTAAATCGGGGAGTTCTTTTTCTCTCCCTCCCACTCCTCCCTCTGTATTTGTGTGTCTCTGAAATAAACATATCAGAGTACCTGGGTTCAAGTCCCAGTTGTGCTTCTGATTCAAGCTTCCAGCTAATGCACACTCTAAAAGAGAGTAGGTGATAACTTAGCTACTTGGGTCCCTGCCACCCACATGGGAGACCTGGATGGAGTTCCTGGCTCTAGGCTTCAGCCTGGCTCAGCCCTAACTGTTGAGGGCATTTGGGGAGTAAACCAGCTAATGGAAGATCTCTCTCTCTCTCTCTCTCTCTCTCTCCTCTCTCCTCTCTCCTCTCTTTCTCTATTTCTCTCCCCCCCCCACTATTGAAATAAAATGAATATATAAATTTAAAAATTTTTTAAATGAAAACTAGCCCAAGGCCCTTAGACTATAACTCCTGACTTTAATTCTCTAGGTTTGAAAACCCAAGAATAGAAGTTGATCCCAGCTAATTCTTTTTTTTTTTTTTCTTGACAGGCAGAGTTAGACAATGAGAGAGAGAGAGAGAGAGAGAGAAAGGTCTTCCTTTTCCGTTGGTTCACCTTCCAAATGGCTGCCACAGCCGGCGCACTGCGTCAATCTGAAGCCAGGAGCCAGGTGCTTCCTCCTGGTCTCCCATGCAGGTGCAGGGCCCAAGGACTTGGGCCATCCTCCACTGCCTTCCCAGGCCACAGCAGAGAGCTGGACTGCAAAAGGAGCAACTGGGACAGAATCTGGTCCCCCAACCGGGACTAGAACCGGGGGTGCCGGCGCCGCAGGCAGAGGATTAGCCTAGTGAGCTGGTGCTGGCCAATCCCAGCTAATTCTAAAGAGGACTTTATCTCTGCAAAAGCCTCTTTTTCTGGATCCCCCCTTCATGCACAGACTAACAGATTTGTAGCTAGAAGAGGTACGAAAGAGAGGAAGGGCAAAGCAGGGAAGTCAGTCTGGAGAGGAAAAATGAAACCAAGTGAGTTCAGTCAAAAATGGTTTTTCAAAAGATATACTTGTACACATATATCATAAGCTCATTTACATGTTTTATTCATTGTTTTTCTTTTAAAAATGCTTTTACATCTTTTAAAATTCTTTTAAAATTTCTTTTAAAAGATTTTTTTTTTTTTGACAGGCAGAGTGGACAGTGAGAGAGAGAGACCGACAGAAAGGTCTTCTTTTGCCGTTGGTTCACCCTCCAATGGCCGCTGCGGCCGGTGCACCGCGCTGATCCAATGGCAGGAGCCAGGAGCCAGGTGCTTTTCCTGGTCTCCCATGGGGTGCAGGGCCCAAGCACCTGGGCCATCCTCCACTGCACTCCCTGGCCACAGCAGAGAGCTGGCCTGGAAGAGGGGCAACCGGGACAGAATCCGGCGCCCCAACCGGGACTAGAACCTGGTGTGCCGGCGCCGCTAGGCGGAGGATTAGCCTAGTAAGCCGCAGCGCCGGCCTCTTTTAAAGATTTTAAGGCAGCTTTAAATCTTTAGTCTTGAGGGCCGGTGTTGTAGAATAGTGGGTAAAGCTGCTACCTGCAAGGCCAGCATCCCATATGGGCACCGGTTTGAGTCCCAGCTGCTCTGCTTCTGATGCAGTTCCCTGCTAATGTGCTTAGGAAAGCAGTGAAAGTTGGCCCAAGTGCTTGGGTCCCTGCACCCACATGGGGAACCCAGAAGAACCTCCTGTCTCCTGGCTTTGCTGAGTGAAGGGGAGGATCTCTCTTCCTCTCTCTCTCTCTCTCTCTCTCTCTCTCTCTCTAACTGTGCCTTTCAAATAAATAAAATAAATCTTTCTTAAAGCTTACTTCTTGGAGGTACATCCATCAAACACAGATATCTTGCCATGCTTACCGCAGAGGCCTGGTGACAAGAACCACTCATCCTCAGTCTTTGTTCTCTGCCCTCAGCCCTGACAGCAGCAGCCGGAAGGGGCAAACTGGAGGTATGCCGTCTGCTCTTGGAACAAGGGGCAGCAGTGGCCCAGCCAAACCGCCGAGGGGCTGTGCCCCTATTCAGCACTGTTCGCCAGGGCCACTGGCAGGTAAACAAGTAGCTACTTCTGGTCCCTCAGACAGGAATGAGTTCTGGGATGGGACCTTCTGATGCAAAAAGCAAAAAGACTACAAGCAAAGTCTGGATCACCCAAATTCATTGAGTTTGAGGACGATGGGCCTTTGTAATTAATATTATTGTTAATTGAAAATAGGATAAAAAGTTAACATTCAAAGCCATCATCATAGTCTACACTGACTGACTGCTTTTGTCCTGCTCTTGGAGTGCCCTCCCCTTCCTGTTCCACAGGCCCAGGCACTTATTGGCTGTATGGTTTCTCAATAGGACTTGCTGACCCCGCTAGCAGGTGTCTCAGACCTGCTGAAAGAAAGGGGAAAATATGCTAATCCTAGTTATATGATCTTTCCAGATGTTTAGATGCTGGATAAGTGTTAATTTATATACTTGGGGTGGAAAATAAGGCATGCTGATAATAACTTTCAGAGGTATCTGAGTATGAAAAAGGCTGTAGGAGCCAAACAGTACTAAAGAGTTATTGGAGGCAGTTTATTGTCTTCAGTTCAGTTATAAATATTCATTGCTGCAGGTAGGCTGGCACTCCCTAGAGAACAATAGAATGGCACAGACGTAGGTAAGACTCATGATGGAGCTTCCACTATGGGATTGTTTAGTCTAAATCGTGGTTTGTTATCCTAAATTTTTTTAATTTAGTGGTTCAGTTAGATATTCCTAGTTGAATTCTTCTCATGAGGTTATCTGTAAGAGAGTTAGATTAAATCACTTGGTGCTAGGACTGTGCAGGTGCCTCGGGCTTTGGGGTGTAGGTGTAGTAGAAAGCTGCTCAGACAGGTTGCTCACCTGCACAGAAGCTAAGAGCTCACACAGCACGGGGCACAGCACTGCGTGTGTCTTCTCAGCAGCTCTTCTTGACCTGTTTGGTCCCTGTGTCTCCGCACCTGCAGATTGTTGATCTCTTACTCACCCATGGCGCCGATGTCAACATGGCGGACAAGCAGGGCCGCACCCCCCTGATGATGGCTGCTTCCGAAGGCCATCTGGGCACTGTGGACTTCCTGCTTGCACAAGGTCAGTCTCGGGGTGGCCACTTTCACAATAATCCGCTGGATTCATGGGTTCCAGCAGTGGGTTCCAGGAGATGTTAGGAATGGACATTATGGACCCTGTTGGCTAGAACATGAAAGGCCATCTCATGTCCTTTTAAATACAAGTGGAGCCCCTCTAACATGTTCTGTTTGCTTATGGCTGGGGGTATTTTAATCAAATTAGCATTTCCCAAACTCTGTCATTCAAATTAGTAATCTGAAAATTGTGATTTCTTTTAATATATACTCAATAAATGTCTTTTAGGCATTATATTTTAACTTTGTCAATTCTTTGGTAAGCCTTAACAGGTGATATTGTTTTTGAAGCCAGAGGAAGAAAATGGAGATTAAGACACCTGCTGATGGTGAAACCCTATTTGGGGAATCAGGATACTATTATCCTGCTGTTGTAAGAATACCTTTTGACACTTAACTACCTCTACAGATTTCTGGTGGATGGGGAATAAGCCAAAGGAGCTCATCCTTTAGGGCTTGATGAGCTTCACCGCTGTGCAGGTCTGCCTCCGTAAAGCACTTCAGGCTCCTGCAGATTTCTATGACTGTGCACAACAGTGGTTGGTGATGGCAGGACCTCCATAGTAGGAAGAATTCTTGAGATTTCAGACTACAGCCCAGTCAGAGATTTCCTGGATCTTCAAGGAAAATTTATTTCCGCAACCCTAGACCCAAGACTGAGCCAGAGTTGGCGTCATTCTTGTGGAGTGCAGAGTGGCCCTCGTCTCCCCAGTGCGAGCTTCCAGACAAGTCTGGCTTCACTTTCTGTAGGGGCGCAGGGGATTTGGAGAAGGGAATGTGCCTAGAGTCTCAGGATGAGATGTGGCAGGAGTCCATGTTCCGGACTAAGTGAAGCCACTGGAAAAGGCAGGATCTCTTCAGCACTGATGACCTCTGGACACCTGCATGGGTCTGCCAGATGCCTTCAGAAGCTCAGGAGACAGATTCCTGAGATGGGTTCTTCCTTGCCACCGAAGACATTCTGGTCTTAAGATGGGTTTGTTTTTTTCAGCTTCAGTAAGAGGCTTTCACTAAATCATCAAATCCTACAAGCATCTATTTAGAGTCAAGTGCAAGGAATATTTTGTATATAAATACCGGTTGCATGCAGGAAATAATAAGGATAGAAGAGTTGACGGTAGCTCCAAAGTGGTAAGATGAACACTGCCACTTCTGAATGACGAGAATTTCCCAGGCAGTTAATGAAACAAGACAGGAGATAAGAGGAAGGTTACAGATTGTGTTTACAAATACTGAATGGATTGTTGATTTGTTTCATGTATATTTCCTTATAAATTCCAGCTGTTCTTATCTTTCCTTACCTGTAACATACATCCAGAACCTGCTTAGCCTTCTGCCTTCCCACCACTGGAGTCTGGGGAATTTATAGATGTTGTATCTGAGGAAACTCCTTAAATTCTCTCCCATATTCACATTCGTTCCCTCTTAGATCAGTGTTTTAATTGCAAACTATACCATTTTGAAAAGATAACCCAGTTCCTAAATGACTCTCATAGCATCAGAGTAGGTACCTTTAGCATTCACGGTGCTGTGGAGGCCACAGTCTGCTGGCCTGTGTGTGGGGCACAAAGGTGACAGCCCAGTAACTGCTGAGCAGACCCTGTGGCAGGTCCCAAGCTCAAGCTGGCATCTGTCACGTGAGGAGGCAGCCTGGGAAGTGTCCCACGCATAGTAGGGCTCTAGAATTTAGTTCATAAGCATGACATGCCAACTGTGTTGAAAGTTGTTTAGGCACTCTTCAAAACTAACAAGGAACTGACGGGCTCCTTCATGTCGAAAAGCTTACAGTCTTGGCCTAAGAACCAAATGTCTATTCAATTGTAGACTGATTCCCGCAGCTTATCAGGTATACTTGATCCTTACAAGTCAAGTTGAAGGAAAGCAGATGCCCAATATGAAGGGGCTACAAGGGTGAGGGTGGGCTTATTGCAGAAGGCTAATTTAAGTTCTGAGTGTCTTTTTGTTTTCAATTGGCAGGTTAAAATTTTATATTATTTATGGTGTACGACATGCTACTTTGATATATGCATACATTGTGGAATGGCTAAATCAAGATATTTAACTTGTATTACTTCATATACTTTTAGTTTTGTGGTTAAAAACATTTAAAATTACTGTCTTAGCAGTTTTTAGGCATACAATATGCTGATCTTAACGGTAGCCACCATCATGGACAGTAGCTCTCCTAACTGGTTCCTCCTAAGAGTCTGCCTTCACCAGCATCTCCCCAACCCTCACCCCCAGCGCCCACCGACTCTGGTACCCAGCATTCTACTGTCTGACTCTGGGATTTCAGCTTTTTTTGATTAAGCCCAGAATTTCATCTGTGGCCTGTTCTCAGTGTCCTCCCAAGTCCATCTCCCTCCCCAAGGGAGAACGTGACCCGGTGCTATCATCCATGATAAAGGTATCAGGTGCCTATTTTATGAGGGTCTCTCAGGAGCTTGTGCTGTTATCTTTTATTTTTATTTTTTTATTTTATTTTTTATTTTTTGACAGGCAGAGTGGACAGTGAGAGAGAGAGAGACAGAGAGAAAGGTCTTCCTTTGCCGTTGGTTCACCCTCCAATGACTGCCGTGGCCGGCGCACCTCGCTGATCCGATGGCAGGAGCCAGATACTTCTCCTGGTCTCCCATGGGGTGCAGGGCCCAAGTACTTGGGCCATCCTCCACTGCACTCCCTGGCCACAGCAGAGGGCTGGCCTGGAAGAGGGGCAATCGGGACAGAATCCGGCGCCCCGACCGGGACTAGAACCCAGTGTGCCGGCACCACAAGGCGGAGGATTAGCCTAGTGAGCTGCAGTGCCGGCCGCTTGTGCTGTTATCAATGGGAAACTTCCACTCAGGTCAGAAAATATTTATCAAGAATGTATTATACACAGGTAGGATTGGCTGGTGCCCCGGCTCACTAAGCTAATCCTCTGCCTGCGGTGCCGGCACCCTGGGTTTTAGTCCTGGTCGGGGCGCCGGATTCTGTCCCAGTTTTGCCTCTTCCAGTCCAGCTCTCTGCTGTGGCCTGGGAAGGCAGTGGAGGATGGCCCAAGTCCTTGGGCCCTGCACCTGCATGGGAGACCAGGAGAAGCACCTGGCTTCTGGCTTCAGATCAGCGCAGTGCAGCGGCCTTTGAGGGGTGAACCAATGGAAGGAAGACCTTCCTCTCTGTCTCTCTCTCTCACACTGTCCACTCTGCCTGTCAAAAAAATTTTTTTAATTAAAAAAATAAAATAAAAAAATACACAAGTAGGATGCATACAAGCAGATAAATAACAGAACAAGGTGACATGTTAAGCAGGTTCATGATGTAACAGTGAGCTGGGAGAATTTTCTTGCAAGCAGGGAAAGAGACAGTTCCCAGGAATGGGTAGAAGTAAAGCAAGTCAAGGGGAAGAGGAGGTGTGTGGGGAGCGGCCCGGACTGGACTGAGTTGCTGGAGTTGAGACTTGTTCTGTGCATCTGCTCTCCCACATTATGGCGCTGGGAGAGAAGTAAACAGCTTCTGCACAGCTGCCTCCAGTTCAGCCAATAAACTGTAGGACTTGCTCCTGATTGGAGGAGAGCAGCGTGCTCGGCGTGTGGGCAGCCGAGTTGGGATTGGCAGAGGAGGACTATAAAGGAGGAGAGAGACGGCATGCACGAGGAACATCTAAGGGGAACACCTAAGGGGAACACCTGTGCAGCCCCCGAGAGAGCCGGCCGGCGGTGTGCCGCTCCCCTGCGGAAGTGGGGAATGTGGCCAGGGGGAACCGCCCTTCCACGGAGGTGGAAGGGATAGTAGCCAACCCGGGAAGAACCAGCAGCAAACCCGGGGAGGGCCGAGCAGACGAAAGAACAGCGCAGGGTCCTGTGTCGTTCCTCCACGAAGAGGGGGAGCGACAGAGGTGTTGCACACAGGGGAGCAGTGCAGCTGGAAGTGAGGATGAGCTGGACTTATGGGAAGTTCTAGAGGCAGCAGACAGCCATTTGGCCAAGTAAAGGATCCTCACAGGAGACCAGTGAAACTTAACAATAGGAGTAAACGTAGAGATGGATTGTGGAAGACCTGAATACCCAATAAAGCAACTGCACCCTAATCTCTTGGCAGCTTATAGGATCAGAGTCGTGTTTGTTCACTGGTTTGAGACACAGCTGACGCACCGTAACAGCCCAGAAGCAAAAGGTGTTCTTCGGCAGAGTGTGCACCCTAAGGACTGTGACCGTCTCTGTTTCCTCAGGCCTGTGTTACCACTTGCTCTTGTAGGTGCCTCCATAGCTCTGATGGACAAAGAAGGCTTGACAGCCCTCAGCTGGGCTTGTCTGAAGGGCCATCTCTCAGTGGTTCGTTCTCTGGTGGACAATGGAGCCGCCACAGACCACGCAGACAAGAACGGCCGCACCCCGCTGGACCTGGCCGCTTTCTATGGTGACGCAGAGGTGGTGAGTGTCTTTAAATGGGCCTCCAGAAGCAGAGAAAGAATGTTCTCCATCCACCTGTCCAGCCTGAAGCTGGAGTCATGCTAGGATGATTCCTGGTACAGAGTTCTCAGATCTGTACTTGCTGGAGGGCAGGAATATTCAAAACACGGGTAAAACCCAAGGATTCACATGTGTTTCAGGCTGTGGCCTGAAATCCCCGTGGCTACACAGCCTGCTTCAGACCAGCAGTGAGTGAAGGGCAGGCAGCGGCGGGGCTGTGTGCAGCCATTCCACTTGTGTTAACTGCTCTGCTTGGTCCCTGGCCTAGGTCCAGTTCCTGGTGGATCATGGCGCCATGATCGAGCATGTGGACTACAGCGGAATGCGCCCTTTGGATAGAGCAGTAGGGTGCCGGAACACTTCTGTTGTCGTCACTCTCCTGAAGAAAGGAGCCAAGATAGGTAGGAGACAGGGAGATGCTGTTGGCCATCTGTGCCCAGGGGCCAGACTGGCCTGGTGGTCTGGCTGCCCTGGGTGTTTGGTATGAGTGTATCTAGTTCCCCCTCCGCCCTGGCCCAATTCCTGTCCACATGAACAGAAAGGCTTCTGCTCCAGAGAAAGACCCGTCTGAGCTGTGCTCTGCGTCCCTGTGTCGGGAGTCACGTGGTTCTCTGCCGTGCCCCCGTGGCCTTGGCAAGGAGGCTCTCAGTGCGGCCTCTGGGCCAGCCCCCCCCCCCGCCCCCCCGCCGCCCCGTAAGCACCCTGGAGCCCTGCAGTGCCGCCAGCCTTTGCTTTCCCTTGCTCTGAATGTGCTGCTGCCGCCCCAGCTGCTCCCCGCCCACAGACCTGTAGACCAGGGTTGGCTGATTGCTGGCTTTTTTGCTGCCTGCCTCTCACTGCTGCTTTTTCCTTCTTTTTTTTTTTTTTTTTTTTCACCTTCATCCATTTTTTTTTCCTGTCCTACAACTTTTTGTTTTCTCCTTTCTTTGAAGGTTGTCAGACGTTACCGAGTCGCCCACGAGGTATATTTCACCGCTGTCAGCATCAGGCGTGGTCTGATGGCTTGGTCAGCTTTGCCTTCTCCTCTTTGATTTAGCCTGCATGAGTCCCCTACACCTCTAATCTTTTAATTTACTTCACCTTAAAAGAAGATTTTTTTTAATGACTGTTGTAGAGAATAACTTGAACTTTTGATAACTAACCTTGAAAAGCTTAGTTGGTAAATAACTCAGGCATCCGAAAACTAATCAATTTAACCTTCTCTTCTCTTTGTGGTTAAAGTAGTCCTCATCCGTGTTGGTTTGTTTCACATCTGTTTGACATCCGAACTGTGCTCCTGGTTCAAAGTGGATCCCAGAGTCCTATGTGGTACTCAGGAGCCGCGGGGGGCCTTTACAGTTGCTAATGGCTTCCCTTCTGCAAAGTACGGTTATAAAAAACAGCTGGGTATTTTAGTCCCACATCTAAAGTTCATCACCTTTTTGGATCTTTCAAATCCTGTGGTGACGTTTTCTGTAAACCCCTTCTCCCACTTTCCCTTATTTAAAGCCGTTGCAAACTAAGCCAGGGCCTGCCCACACGCGGCCACGCAGGCTTTGCTGCCCTCCTGTGGTGCACGCTCCGACAGTTCTGAGACTCTTATTTTAAGGTGAATACCACTCCAATGCAGCTTCTTGGCAGTGGGAGTCACCAAAGCACTCCCAGGTCTAAAAGATGAGGTCATTGTTGTGGAGCAAGTTGTTCTCTCAGCAGAAATTCCCCCAGGATGTTTTTTTCACCTAGCTTCCTACCACCCTTACATTGTATGAGTTTTTTACCCATCATGCATCCTGTACACTACAGGTCCAGCCACGTGGGCGATGGCCACCTCCAAACCAGACATCATGATCATCCTGTTGAGCAAGCTGATGGAAGAGGGGGACATGTTTTATAAGGTGAGGGGAGGGAGGAACAAAGTTTTCTCAAAATAACCACTGATTTCTGCACACAGAATCTTCCAGAGTCTTGGCATTTCTCATCCTTTGTTCTAGAGTCAGAGGGAGAAGGTCAGTCCTCAGTGATGGGCTCAAAAGTTGAGCATCCTGAGTCTTCGACTGCCCAGCAAGAGTGACAGTAACCTACACACACGCCTGCAGCTGAGCAACCCAAAGCCCTAGCTTTACTGGTCACTAACGGGCAATTACACAGGTTTTACATGGCATCTACTACGTGAGATCTGGAAACTCGTGGAACAGCAGTTATATGTAATGTAGCTGCATCAGGCTGTTGATCCTAGCTTTCATACTTATATAGCATTAAACATCTAAGGCTCTACTAGCTTGTCAGTATCCTTGAAAAAGAAAGGGAAACCAAGACAAACAGCAGTTAGAAGATTTGCTTAAAGTCACCTCTTGAATAACAGTAAAAAGATTTTGGAGTTTTTTGTACTCAGAATTCAAGCTGAAGGCTACATACCCTAACACAGACAAACTGCCGTGGCTTATGGGAAATTCCTTAAGAACATTCCGTGTCCAAGTCATCTCAGTGGCTTAAGAATAGCTGGATCATCCGCTCCTGAAGGTGACTGTACGTCCAACCCACTGTTTGAAAACAGGGGTCACCGAGACATTCTATAAGAACCTAAAAGATGAGGGAATGACTGTGACACATGTCGTTCCCCTTGTAGCAGGAGTATGCAAGTCCTTGAGAACCCAGTTACGTTTCCTCAGTGCACTTTGAGTGAGAGTCAGGACAATCTAGAGTTCTCAGGCTTTCAGGAAACTTGAGCCCTCAACGTTAATTTCATGTGAAGATCCTTGGGGTGGACATTATGGTGCAGCAGGTTAAGTTCCTGCTTGGGATGCCCACGCCCCACGTCACAGTGCCGGTTCAAATTTCAGCACCTCTGCTTCCGATCCAGCTTCCAGCTCAGCATCCTGGGAGGCAGTAGAAACTTATTCAGTGCTGGGGCCCCTGCCACCTGCGTGGGCCCTGCCCTGACTGTTGCGGGCATTTGGGTAGTGAACCAGCAAATGGAAGGCCTCTCTCTACACCTCTCTCTCTCTCTCTCTCTCTCTCTCTCTCACACACACACACACACACACACACAGAGACACACACAATCTTTCAAGTAGATGCAACTTTTTTAAAAAAAGGTCACTATATACATATTTTCTAGTATTCTAAGACAAGGAATCCTATCTCCTAATGAAAATAGGCAAAAATTTTATTGTTCCCACCAAGAATTTTTCCTTAGAAGACTAAATCTCCCCTCAGGTAAAGGTACTAAAGGGAAGATAAAAACCCGAAGCCGGTACCGCGGCTCACTAGGCTAATCCTCCACCTTGCGGCGCCGGCACACCGGGTTCTAGTCCCAGTCAGGGCGCCGGATTCTGTCCCGGTTGCCCCTCTTCCAGGCCAGCCCTCTTCTGTGGCCCGGGAGTGCAGTGGAGAATGGCCCAAGTCCTTGGGCCCTGCACCCCATGGGAGACCAGGAGAAGTACCTGGCTCCTGCCATCGGATCAGCGAGGTGCGCCAGCCACAGCAGCCATTGGAGGGTGAACCAACGGCAAAGGAAGACCTTTCTCTCTGTCTCTCTCTCTCTCTCTCACTGTCCACTCTGCCTGTCCAAAAAAAAATGATATCCCTTTGGAGTTGCAGCTATACAGAAGGAATAGAGTGGATAAAGATCAGAGTTGCTTCCTGTGATTTCTGGGCTCAGCTTACAGGTTGTCAGATGCAGAATGTAGGGAAAGTTCAAGGCCCCTGGGACTAGACCCCTAGATTGGTCATAGATTTGCTGCATCTTGGAAAATGCCTCCTACAAGGTCAGATTAGATACAAAGTCCAAGATTCACTTCTCCCTGACCACCCACCAATGCCTTCTCCCAAAACATGGGGAAAACTGAGTGATACTTATTTTCCCTCATATGAGATTAGGGAAACAACAGCTTGACTGTGGCAGCTCCCACATCCTTTGAGGAAGAGAATAACCTGTTGAGAGAACAGGCAAGGTGGGTGTCATGTAGGAGAAAAGCACTCCACACAAGTCAGAAACTCAGGAGAAGTCGTGACTCTGGAGTGCTTGGGACCAGGCAATGTGTGTCCCAGGGAGGTCAGTTCAGGAAGGTGAACGTGGAGAGGTCAGTTGTGGTGCAGGGGGTGAGGCCCCCACCTGCGATGCCGGCATCCCATATGGAACACTGGTTTGAGTCCCACCTACTCCACCTCCAGTCCAACTCCCTGCGAACGTTCCTGGGAGGCCCAGGTACTGGGGCTTCTGCCACCCACACGAGAGACCAGGACAAAGGGTCTGGCTTTGGCCTGGACTAGCCCTAGCCATTGTGACCATTTGAGAAGTGACCCAGCACTCAGTGTGTCTCCCTTTCCCTCCTCTCTCTCTCTCCCTCTCTCTCTCTCTCTCTCTCTGTGTGTGTGTGTGTGTAAGTCTGCCTTTCACTTAAATAAATATTTAAAAAATAATAAAAGAAAAATGAACCTTGAAATGAGGAAGGTAAATCCTTTTTACAAAGGGCTTTCCCAGTTGGGAAGCTGAGGTCAGGGCCTTTTATCCACCAAGGCTTTGTTCCTCTGGCTTGGGTATCCCCTCCAACTTTGCCTTTCCTGCCAAGTGAGTTTCCTATAGACGCAGGCTCTTCTGCTCTCACTGTCCGGGCCAGACCATCGCCCTAGGTCGGGGCCTGGGAGGGTTAATGGTCATAGCAGCTGCTCGCAGGAGGAAGGGAGTGGGGAGCAGCCTTCCGACTGCTCTGCAGACCAACAGTTTCTTTTGCCGTCTTGTACTCCATCAGAAAGGTAAAGTCAAGGAGGCTGCCCAGCGCTACCAGTACGCACTGAAGAAATTCCCTAGAGAAGGGTTTGGTGAGGACTTGAAAACCTTCCGGGAACTAAAGGTGTCTCTCCTCCTCAACCTCTCTCGATGCCGCAGGAAAATGAACGTAAGTGCCTCTCGTCCCAACTCACCCATGCAGTCCTGGACGCTGGTAGTCCATGCCACTCACTGGCTTCCACCAGACCCCGAATTCCTCTCCGTCCCATTTGGAGCTTGGTTGTCCTTCACAGAGCACTGACATTGATAATTTCCAAGAAATCAAGTCTGAGTACAATCTGTGTCTCAAACTGTAAAAAAAATACTGTGAGTACTTTGTTTTGAGTTTTCACAGTTCCCACTGAACGGGACTGGAATTCCATCATCCCCACTCCCACCCCTAAGTAAATGTTCTAATCTCTGGCAAAATGGGAGGGCAGTGGTCACTGGAACTGCAGCTGTAATTAGTGTTATTTGTAGTCTCTCCCTTCATTTCTAGAATATTCCCTAGGCATTTAAGGATGGGCTAAAGAGGACTCAGGACCATGGACTTCAAGGTTTCATTTCTAAGTCTATTCCTGAACTTTTCACTTCTTTCCTTGTCTGTTTTACTCCAACATGCCATATCCCTTCTTGTCCTAGAGGGAATCTTAGAAAACTTCCTGGCCCTCTATAGTATCCCTGGTGGTTCTTGTCCTCCTTGCCTGCCATTACACGCCCTCAGCCACTGCTCCCTTGACAAGCAGACGTTCCTGAGCCGTGGTACCTCTCTCAGACACCAGGAACTGCTGAGACTGGGTCCAGAATCTGACTTCTGCCAGCGCATCTCACAGGTGCAGTCTGAGCCAAACAGGAATGCTGATCCATAGAGAGCTTCCTGTGCGGACACAAGATGCCAGCCTTGGCGGCAAGGGAGGAGCTGGCATTCCAGGGAGGTGGATTGTAATGTGAGCTTTTGGCCGCCCCTCCAGGACAGAACCCTAACAGTGAGGAAAGAAAGCCCTGAGGCAGTCTGAGGCGTCTCAGGTGTAGCCTGAGAGAGAGAGCTGCCCCAGGGCGCCAAGGGGAGTGGGGACCTAGAGGAGTGTCCCAGGAGGTGAGCTGAGAGAGTAGCTGTCTCCGGAAAGCAGTGAGGTTCTTCTGCTATGGTTTCTCACAAAACCAAAGCCTTGGCCCCGAGGGTCTCCCATGGCACCAGCTCAGTAAGGCAGTGTCAGCTTGCTGACCTCTCTTTTTCCCTAGCAAATAATCTACTTAAAAATGTGCTGAAATCCCCATAAGTAGTAATTACCCCGAAAGAAAAACTGGAAGGGTAAATTGGAAACAGTGGAGATAGATGACCCGTGTAAGATAGACTGCTTTCTCTCCAGCTCCTCGTTTGGTGATAATTACCTCCCTTGGACCAACACTCCACTAAACACCTAAGTCTGTCGTCTTCAGTAGAAAATTTCCTTTTTTTTTTTTTTTTTTTGGCCTATGCCCTAGGGCCTTTGTACTGCCTAAAGCCTGTTTGCTGCCTTAGGAATCATGAGTGTAATCAGAGGCTATCATGCTATATTATGGCTTTGCCATTAAAGAAGAGAAAAACATTTCCCCTTTACTTTGGTATTAAGGGGATCTTAAAAATACTGGTCCAGGCCTGGTTTTGTGGTACAGCTGGTTAAACCACTTCTTGCAATGCCAGCATTCCATATAGGCACCAGCTCAAGTCCCAGCTGCTCTACTTGCGATCCAGCAACGTGGCTAATGTGCCTTGGAAAGCAGTGGAAAATGGCCTAATTATTTGGGCCCCTTCCACCCATTTATTTGAGACTCTGATGGAGTTCCAGGCTCCTGGCTTCAGGATGGCCTGGCCCTGGCTATAATGGCCATTTGGGGAGTAAACCAACAGATAGAAGGTATCTCCCCCCACCCAACCCTGCCACTGCCTAACTCTGTCTTTCAAATGAATAAATAAATCTTAAAAAAAAAAAAAAAGAAGAAGAAGAAGAAAGGAAAAGAAAAGAAAGAAACCTGGTCCCTGGTCCTGGGGTTCTCAGAATGAAGATCCATAGCTCTGAGACCATGTTCCTCCAGGAGGGGTTGCCCCATCACAACCAGAGTCCTCTCATTTTTTTTTAAGTGTTTCCTAGGTAAGGGAACAGTTAGGAGGAAGAACAGACCAGAGAAGGAAATTATACTTAATTGAGCACCTACTATGTGTTAAGAATTTTTACATCATTTAAATGCTTTGTCAAATCTAAGTACCTGGCACACTCCAAGGAGTGGGGAAGCAGAGAACTGGCCCCCGGCCTCACACTCCCACTCCATCTGGTCTGCATCGTCCACGTGATCCTCCTGAGCTTGGGCCCCATCCTCCTTACTTCACAGGACATCTTCTCAGTCGTCCCTTAGAAAGCCAGGGCCTGCTGTGTGCGGCAGGAGCATGTGGGCCTCAGACGAGGGTCCCCGGGAGGTATCCATGGGTGCCCGCTGTGTGCCTGGACAGCCAGAATTGAGGTTTCCAACTTCCCTGAAAGATTGGCATTTGGCTTCTGACTAAAAAGCACTTGTTAGAAAGGCAGAAAGAGGGCAAAGTAAAAGTGACTTAGTACTCGGGGCAGGTGCCGTCCAGTGAGTGGCTGGAAGGCCTCCTAGGTAAAGGAAGAAGGAACGTTACTTCTGAGGGCCACATGGCTAGAGCCATGGCAGGTGTGTCCAGAATCCCAGGGGCGCCCTCCATAAATGTCAAAGAAATGTACATATAATTTTGTTTTTGTTCCCAAGTTGTCTATTTTTCATCTCTCTTCAATGACTCATTTGCACACCTATTGTAATGACAGGATTTTGGAATGGCGGAGGAATTTGCTACTAAGGCCCTGGAGCTGAAACCGAAATCTTATGAAGCTTACTATGCAAGAGCAAGGGCCAAACGCAGCAGCAGGTGAGGAGAGAGAGAGAGGGTGAAAAGCAAGAGGTCTCTTTCCTGAAAATCTGGCCAGAGCAACGTAGGCCCCCGGGGCATAAGGCCCCAGATGTCTCTGTCCTTGAGGACTCTCAGGGCCAGGCTTTGGGGACGGCTTCAGGAGCATAGCATTCAGCTGAAGATTGACAAACCTTGGGCGCTGGAGATGGAGAGCTTTTTCCTTTCAGAAAAAAATTGCCTGTTTATGTTGGAGAATGGCACCTTCTTCCAAGAAGCTTCTGCCACATCTCAATCACTTTTCAACCCCCAAAACAGATAGCTTAAGAGACACTGGTTAAGCTTAAGAGACTTAAAAAGGCCATTTAAGTCAAATATCCTACAGAGCTTTCAAGGGGAAACGTAGGATGGGTCACTTACCATCACAGGCTCCTGTTTCTGGTAGGCATTTGGGGACTCCCTGGCTTGTTTAATCTTCCTTCTGGAGCTCCCCTCAATCTGGTGGCATCAAACCTCCACCAACACCACCAACACACACACACACACACACACACACACACACAGACTGGAGGTCCTTGCTTGCAGCATCGAAGGGGCCTACGGGAAGCACCTTTCCCCCTGCCCACCTGCTGTCATTTGGCCACTGGGCAGGAGAGCCTCCGGAGGGACCTGGAGCCTGCTCTCCGTGAGCTTTGGGTGACGGGTGATGTGACATTGTCTTCCATGCCACTGTCTTCTGTGCCACCTGCCCAGCATCCCACCTTGTCCTCAACTCTGCATGGGAAAGAATTGGGGTTCACTGGGGAGAACTGGTCATGAAAATCAAGCCCAGGTTAAAGCTAGTGGCAATGGTGACAGTGCTAACAGCCTTAACCAGCTGGGGTAAGGGAGTTTCTCTGATAGCTCCACTCAGATTCTCCTTCCCTCTGGATTGTTCCTCTCACAAGGCCAGTCGCCTCTTTTCAGGCGGTGTTAGAGGATTGGAATCTCTCTAACAGTTGATCTCTTCATTTGTCAATGAGAATCTCCCTGGGATCAGCTCCACTGCAGGCCCCAGTTGCCTGTCAGCAACTTTCACCTGCCCAGTAGAGAACTGGAGCCGGCAATGCTGGGGGGAGGGCAGGGAGAGGACAGGGTTCTGGCATAGGATGGAATAGGCCTGAAATTTAGAACCAAACTGTTAAGAATGTAAAGAGATTCTCCTGCTGGACAAGCAAAATTTTACAAAATACTGTAGTTAGCTGTGTTCCTAAGCTACTTGACAGTGACCCTGTAAATGACAACCCCAGCCAACCCTCTTACTGCCTGGTATGCATTGGGGCACTGAGAACCTTCCTGAAGGGCCTGGCTGGGCTAACGCACTGCGGACTTGGTCCACTAACCCCAGAAAGGCCAGAAGGAAGAAGGCTGAGAGGGAGCCCTGCGGGGCTCTCCCCAACATCAGCCTGCTTGTTTCCTTCCTTAATTAAACCGAAACACACACTCCCACAGATGCCAGCACGGCTTTCTGAAGTAGTGACCTTGTTCTCAGCTCTTGTGATTCAGTTGATTCAGAATAACTCCAGCTCCTGTGTTTGCGTTTTATCAAGCAGACAGTTTGCAGCAGCCTTAGAGGACCTGAATGAGGCCATCAAGCTGTGTCCAAACAACCGTGAGATCCAGAGGCTGCTGCTAAGAGTGGAGGAGGAGTGTAGACAGCTGCAGCAGCAGCCGCAGCAGCCCCCGCCGCCGCCCCCGCCACAGCAGCCCCCGCAGCAGCTGCCAGAAGAACCGGAAGCTGAACCACCGCACGAGGATGTGTACTCTGTACAAGACATCCTGGAGGAGGAGTACCTGGAGCAGGACGTGGAAAATGTCTCCATCGGCCTCCAGACAGAGGCTCGGCCCAGCCAGGGGCTCCCAGTAATCCAGAGCCCACCCTCCTCTCCAGCCCACCGGGACGCTGCTTACATCTCCAGCTCACCTCTCGGCTCTCATCAGGTTTTTGACTTCCGGTCCAGTAGTTCTGTAGGCTCTCCGACTAGACAAGGCTATCAGCCCACCTCACCTGCTCTTTCTCCAACTCACCAGAACTCTCACTACAGGCCTAGTCCACCACATACTTCCCCAGCTCATCAGGCTGGATCCTACCGATTTAGCCCTCCTCCGGTGGGGGGACAGGGCAAAGAATACCCAAGTCCTCCCCCTTCCCCACTTCGGAGAGGCCCTCAGTATCGGGCCAGCCCCCCAGCTGAAAGTATGAGTGTCTACAGATCCCAGTCTGGTTCACCTGTGCGCTATCAGCAAGAAACAAACGTTACTCAGCTTCCTGGCAGACCAAAGTCTCCATTATCCAAAATGGCCCAGCGACCCTACCAGATGCCTCAGCTTCCTGTGGCAGTTCCCCAGCAGGGGCTCAGGCTCCAGCCTGCCAAGGCCCAGATTGTGAGAAGTAACCAGCCCAGCTCAGCAGTCCACTCAAGCACTGTCATCCCAACGGGCGCCTATGGGCAAGTAGCCCATCCCATGGCTAGTAAGTACCAGTCTTCACAAGGAGACATAGGAGTGAGTCAGAGCCGGCTGGTTTATCAAGGGTCAATCGGAGGAATTGTGGGGGACGGGAGACCAGTGCAGCATGTCCAGGCCAGCTTGAGCGCGGGCGCCATCTGTCAGCATGGGGGGTTGACCAAAGAAGATCTTCCACAGCGACCTTCATCCGCATATCGAGGTGGCATGCGATACAGCCAGACACCACAGATCGGGCGTAGCCAGTCAGCGTCCTATTATCCAGTCTGTCACTCAAAACTAGATCTGGAGCGTTCCTCCAGCCAACTAGGTTCCCCTGATGTGTCGCATTTAATAAGAAGACCTATTAGTGTCAACCCCAGTGAAATCAAACCCCACCCACCGACTCCCAGGCCACTGCTGCACTCGCAGAGTGTAGGCCTCCGCTTCTCTCCTTCCAGCAATAGCATCTCATCCACCTCCAACCTGACTCCTACCTTCCGACCATCTTCCTCGATTCAGCAAATGGAGATCCCACTGAAACCGGCATACGATAGGTCATGTGATGAGCTGTCACCAGTGTCTCCCACTCAGGGAGGCTACCCCAGTGAGCCCACCCGATCCAGGACCACACCATTCATGGGGATCATAGATAAAACAGCCCGGACTCAACAGTACCCCCACCTTCACCAGCAGAATCGGACCTGGGCAGTGTCATCCGTAGACACCGTTCTCAGCCCCACGTCTCCAGGCAACCTGCCTCAGCCTGAGTCCTTCAGCCCCCCATCATCCATCAGCAACATTGCCTTTTATAACAAAACCAACAATGCACAGAATGGCCATTTGCTGGAGGACGACTATTACAACCCCCATGGGATGCTGGCTAACGGGTCCCGTGGAGACCTCTTGGAGAGAGTCAGCCAGGCCGCCTCCTATCCCGATGTGAAGGTGGCTCGGACCCTACCTGTGGCTCAGGCATACCAGGACAACCTGTACAGGCAGTTGTCCCGGGACCCTCGGCAAGGGCAGACGTCCCCTCTCAAACCAAAGAGACCATTTGTGGAGTCTAATGTTTAAAAGACGTGGGTTGGAGTGAGACCCGTACGTGTTCACTGCACATTTTCAGGCTTGTTTCCACATTTACGGTAGTTCTCTGGCTTAATTTCTCATGGAGTTCCTGTGTGGTGTTCAGAGGTGGCAGCCCACGTGCGGAAATCCTTTGCATGCAGCCGACCGGGAAGCTGGCCTCAGTGAGCCAGGACTTTGGTTTTTCTTGTCTGTGCCCCAGCCACATGCTCTCTCCCTCTCTTCAGATGCCGACGAGGAGATGTCTGTGCTGTGTGCTTTAACCCAGGGAGATCAGACACACTGTCAGCTTTCTCCAGGAGACAATCGCTTTCACTGATGTTCTTGTTGTGTAAATGTCTTTTTCCTTTTTTTTTTTTTTTTTTTCCCCAATAAGATGTCCTTGTTTGTTTTCTTCTAGGAACCTAAGTAAGAGTGTGATGCCCCCTGCCTTTGCATTCCTGTCCAGTGTTACCCAGACAGCCGGCCCGGCACCCTCCCGCCACGGTTTCCTCCCCCAGACTGCCAGCTCCTGCAGTCCCCAGGGCTAGAACATCCATTTGAATTATTACTGGTCTCCTTATGGGAGTAAAAAGAATCTAGTAGAGGGAGAGAAGGAAGAAATATGTCTGTTAATTTGGAAGAAAAACCCAATGCAATTACTAGGAATATCACTACATTGATTTTTCCAAGAAGCATTTTAGGAACACTTAGAAACAATCAGCCCTTTAAATATTTCAGTGAGCCAAGGAAACTAGATGAGAATTGTGGATATTTCTTGAAAATTCATTGAGACATATTCCTTAGAAATTTAGTCAACAGTCATCCTCTAAAAGCTACTGATTATCCAGGAATAGTAAAGGGAATAAATAGATAAATAGAAATTACCAAAAAGATTATTCCAGATTCTAAATGAAAGGCTGTAGAAACTCTGTCATGGAGAAACCAACTTTTTAGATCCGGATCCATCACAGGGCGCCCTAGTCCATAAAGCGCAAACTCCCCAAGGGTTGGCTGGTGTAACAGTTCTTAGTGGGTCTTCGCCTGGAGCTGAGTCTTCTCCTGGCCCTCTTCTTAAACCGACATGGAGTAGTGAGGAACAGAAGCCAGTCGGCTTCTCTGGGGACTGTTCGATTCCCAGGGCCTCCACCAGCGCCCTCGCACTCCCTGCCAGTTGTTGTCTTTTCCATTTCAAGATCTATGGCGTCTAGAAGTGTCCTGGGGGGAGTGCTGTTTGAATATAAGACATTGCACAAAGTGTTTCTGCGTGAACAAAGACCTGTTTCAGTTTGCTTTCCAGCCCTGGGAGGGAGCCAGCACTTCCGAGCACCTTGTAGATCCTGTGGTCCCTTATTAACCTGACCTTTGAGGACTGAGGCACTATGAAGCAGGTGTCGAGAACACTGAACCAAAGCCTTAGCACAGCCTGGCGCTGGCTGCACGTCCGACCGCTCACCCAGCAAACTAAACGGAAGAGCATTAGTTGTCTGTTCTAGGAGTCATTCTGCTCCCGTGAGTACAGGGCTCCAAGGGAGGGAGGTTTCCTGATAACCCAGCTGTGATCACACCCACAGTGTCCTCAGAAAGGGTCACTGGGCAGCGGAGCACAGAGCTGAGAAACAGCTCTTTACTAATTTAGATTCTGCCCAGCAGGTGGGCACGTCCTCTCCCTGGCCTCCCCCAGGCCTGGACTCAGCTGTGCTGAATGCAAACAGCTGGGCCCCCCAGGACCCAGGCTCTTTTCCTCTATCACAGATGCTTAGGGACTGTGTCCTACTGGGCCAGAGCAGGCAGGCGTCAGTTCTCTCTCCCCTCCTTCTGTCCCTTCGCTCTCCTCCCCCCCGCCCCGAAGATGAACTGCTCACTGTAGCCTCCGCCTAGAGCTGGAGTTCAGCAGCCCGGGCCCCTTCTCCGGCCAAGTTTCAGCTCTCAGTGTCTTTGCGGCTTACCCCTCTGTAACCACTGCTCACTGAGGAGCTGTTATTCTCGGTGTCTGTTAGAAAAGGGCCCCTTCTTCTTTGGAAGGCCACATACACCACCTGCACTCACCTGTTCAGGTGGGTGCACAGGTCCTGCGGTTTCGCAGACAGACCACTGATCCCACTTCTCCCCAGGGTCTTTCCATTTTCCTGGACCAGAGACGCAGGGGCTCTACCCTATTGGACGAAATGCCTAAACTATCAACAGTCAGGATCAGTTCTTCTGTAGCCATTGTAGGAGGGAAGGACTATCACCAGGGCACCCGTGGTGGTGACTGGGAAATGCCGTGCGGGGCTTGTTGGGGCAGGAGACGGAACCCCCGTAAGCAGATGCCTGTGCCCTGTTTTGCTACTTCACTGCCATGGAATGATCTTAGTACTGTATCTTCGCAATGCCCCTTGCCCAGCGACAAGCACCTGCAGAGTCACTGTCTGGCTTCAGCTAGGGGGGACTTTTCAAATGAAACTGGCAAGTCTGACTTAACCCAATTGCATCACCCTGAAACGGAGACAGGTGACAGACTGTCAGCTGGCAGGTTTGTCACCACCCTGTACGTCCCCTTTGCCCAGAATTCCTCCACTGCTGGACCTGCATCACATCATGTCTATAAATGGGTGCACTTTACTGTTTGAATTTGTAACTCCGATAAATACTGGATATTTAAGTGTGAGTAGTGTCTTCATTAGAAAATAGCAGAATCGCTCTTGTCTTTTAGTGTATTTTTCAAGAAAAAAAACACAAGGAAAAGGAAGAAATCAAGCAGTGGATCACAACATTTATAGCACAAGAAATAACTGTTGTATATAAGCATCAAAAAGATTAAGAATTTTTAAATACAAAAAATATTTACAGTGATTTTAAAGTGCTTTTCCAGCAATTTTCTTAGGGACTCCTGAGACATGGTCACTTTATTTACTGGATCAGTAAGGCACACAACTAACAATTAAAAAGTAATGTTTATTTACAAAGTAAAGGGAAAATCTTGTAACATGAGAATTCGGCATGGACAAATGGAGACCATTTTGTGTCTGCTGTTGTGCCGGGTGGCAGGCGTGCACTATTAAAGTCCCAAGTTAATAGAGCACAAGCCCTTCTCGTCTCTGTCCAACATGACCCTTTTTAGATGTGTTTAACTTAAACGCGATGGCTCAGGAAAATTCCATGAGTTAGAATCTTGTACAGTATCCCAGGTCGTTGTCCAGATGTACAAGTTTGCCAATTTAGTTAAACCTGGATTATCCTGCAGTTTTCCTAAATTATTGTAAACAGAACAGCTTAGAGAAAAGTATTCTCAATCCTTATATTGTATAGTAGTTTGTGAACCCCTCTCTAAATATTGGTATTTTTATATTCCAGAGATGTACCCAATAGAAAAATTAAAAGTTAATCAGTATCTACTTTAATATCCATAAGTATTTTTCCTTAGATTTTAATTACATGCAGTGGGGTATGTGGACGTCACTTGTGCTTCACCGTACTTTACCACTAGGTGTCACTGTGGCTCTGCACCACCCTTGTCTGGGAGCAAGGATGGCAGCATCTCCCTGGTGGGGCTGCTCGCAGAGCAGCCGGCAGGCCCATAAGCTTAGAGGTTCAGGAACAAAGGCCTGGAAGGGGTCTTCGTGCACCGGTGCCAGCTGGGGCAAGCGAGCCCTTTAAACGCTCTTCAGAGGCTGGGAGAAGGCTGACTACAGAGCCCTCCCCGCACAGCCTTGCTCTGGTGGCTGGATGGGTACGTAGAGGACCCTGACTTTCCCGGGAGCGCCTCTCTTCTCAGTTCCTCTCCACCGCAGACTCACAACTCTACAGGTGTCACAGTCGGGTATCTGATTCAAAAATAGTTATTTTTCTACTGCAGAAATGCCTTGGACAGAACCAGATCACTGAAGCTGCCGCAGAATGGGGCGGGCTCCCCCCGGGGGTGGGATGCACCCACCCCTGTGCCCAGGCTCCTGTCGAGGCTTCCAGAGCTCAGCAGGGCTGCCCACCCTGCCCCCCGCTTCTCAAGAAGTCGACCTGCAGGGGCGGCAGCTGCTGCCAGCGCGCCCAGGGCTGAGCTGCCCTGCTGGTGCTCAGTGGGAGACGTGGCTTTTTCTCCTTTTCCTCTAGGAATTCCAGAGCCACCATCTACCATGACTAACAACAGTGAACAAAGGGCTTAGGGGTAAGCGCTACCTACAAAGACGTGTCATGGAAACCTTCACCATGCAATGCCTTGAACTCAGCTCTGGCTGCTCCCAAGAAAAGGTGGCTGGCTGGGGGCCTGGACACAAGCACAAGGGGGCTGGTGGAGCCACTGTGCAGAGCTACTTGAATCATCACTGGGTCTTCATCCACTGCTTTCACAACACAGACCACTCAAGGGCTGACGTGTCGCTGACCTTCCTCCCGGTGTCTGATGCCTTGCGGCCACGTAATGGCCACAGTCAGAGCTTTGAAAGTCAGTACCAAATGAATGCATAATTGGACACCAAAAACCAAGTGTTACTTCCATGTCTCCTCACCCCATCATCTTATTTCTTCCTGCTGACTCTGTGAGTCCGACACTAGGCTGAGCTGCCGGGCCATAGCTGGATGCAGGCCGGCAGCGCTGTCCTGCTCTCCCCCACCCCAGTAGACCTACTCTGTGGAAAGGAAGTGGCCTAGCTGCTTTGTTCTTATAGCACTTGCTGGCTGGATTTTTCTTTTGCTAATCACTAACCAGAAAATCTGGCTAGGGGGACTCATCCCTTTGGTCCCCAGGACCAGAGTTAATTCTGGAAAATTCAGTACTTGAATGTACCTGCCTTACTGTGTATCAATTTATGGGAGAAAAATAGACGAGAAAGATGCTGGCTCCAGATCTCCACTTCACTCAAGGTCATTTTGGAAATCCTGCAAGTTAAACTTCCCGTTGCGTTCCTCCATAGCCCCCATCTCCACCCCGCCCTTGGCTGACGCCTGCTGAGTGGGGCCAGTTCCTTGCCAGTCTCAGGGCAGGTCCACACGTAGGCACAGCCGCCCTCCCCCCCCCCCCCCCCATCTAGCACAGCGTCTTCGTCTCTGTTCTGTCTCCTCCAAATCCAAGCTGATTTTAATTAGTACAGACGTGTACAGTCTACAATTAAAGAGTGATTTGTACTAATAGGATTTTGATTCTTCCTCTTTGCTGTCCTTTCAAGACACTTGCTGGAAAAAGCTTTAATGCACTTCGTTTTCCTTTAGGTTTTCTATAACTCGGATGGAAAGGACTTCCTCTGTACAGTATATTATCCAATGCATGTTTGTTCTCTCCTGATATATCGACCGCCACACAGTTGTGAACTCGTGCAGTGGGGACGCCCCCAGCAGAGGCGCCTGGGCCCCTGCCTGCCAGGAAAGACCCTTTCCTTTGCTGTACTTGCTTGAGCAGTTGTATTGTCTGTACATGTGAGCTGTGTGAGATAGATGTGAAAAGTTCAATGAATGCATTTCCCTGCCATGTATGCAGGCCGTCACCTGTACAGTGACCTGTATGTATGAAAGCAAATGTACTTATTTATAAAGGGTTACCACTTGGAACACGGCCTCCTGTGCTTGCCTCCTTCTGGCTCCCAAAGCGCGCACGTGAGCCGCAGTGCCCAGATGCCCGTCCAAGAAAGAACTCAGCAGGTCAAGGCCAAGGCCAAAGGCTCAGTGAAGTGGGTGTTTGGGGGGCGGCTCGCTGCCACCCCCCACCGTGTCTCAGTCCCGTTACTGAGCAGCCCCTCAGGGCTGGGCACCTGGGAGAGGACGAGGCGGGGCGGCAGCTGGGGCACTGCGGTCACTGGGAAAGGGGGTGGGGGTGCGGTGGGCGTCTCCCCAGCAGAGGTTTTCTCCAGCTGGGCCTGGGAGCACTCAGCTCCCTGCTTCATCCGACAGCTGAAGCTGCACCCCAGTCCAGTCACGGAATCCAAATCCCAAGGCCGCCAGCTCCAGGTGGGCTTGGCACCTCACTGCCGCAGCAGGCACTGAGCTGGCCCAGGCTGAGGCCCTGGGAGCCCAGCGGCTTTATTTTTCCTTTGGAAATCTGGCTGGACGCGCAGGCCTCGCCGGGCAGACCCATGCGCAGCTCGCGGGCTCCCTGAAGCGGGAGCCTGTCTCCAAAGCAGGCAGCCCGGAGCACCCCGTGCTTCCCACCCAACGGCCACCTCCTTGTCTGCCTCAGGGACAAGCGAGGAAGGCAGCCACTTCCTCCGGGCGTTCCTGCTGTGGCTGCCCGAGGCTGGGCAGCCTGGACCCCAGAGAGGCCTTCAAGGCCTGGGGCCTCTGGGAGAGTCCCTGCGGGGGCCGAGCACCACGCGTCTGCACCGCTGCAGTTTCACTAGAAATTAGAAATGGACAAGTGGTCGGCAACGCCTCAGCTTTTCACGATTCCTGCGTGGGGCATTAAGGTCACGGTCCACAGCGAAAGGAATTCTTGGACTCTGCCCTGAGCCTGACTAAAAGGCACACGGGAGCGAGCTGACACGCCTCGGTCGGGTCTCGGCCTCCTCTTGCCTTCCCTAAGGCCACGGGCGGGCGCACACCCAGCCAGGCCTGCCCGCCTGCCCGCCTCTGCGCCGCCGCAGCAGCCGCCGGGGACACAGGGCCTCCTCTCGCAGCTGTGAAAGCAGAAGCGGACGGAGCTCCGGGCGCCCCAGCCACCTTGTCGCTCTGCTCTGCTCTGCTCTGCTGCCCGGAGTAGGATGGGCATGGGTTGCCAGGGTGTCGCGCCTGCCAGGCCCTCTGAAGAGACAGTGCTCAGGGCCCAGCCTCGTGGGGCAGACGCCGGGGCAGGGATTCGGCGTGTGCGCACGCATTCCTCACGCAGACCTGCGGGGACGCGGCGGTCTCCATGGGAACCGCAGCCCCAGATCCTGGGTGACCCTGCTCGCATCCGGAGGCAGAGCGTCCCACCCGGCACGCAAACACGCAGCCTGTTCACAGCGGGGGCTGAGAAGAGCTTGCGCATCGGGCCGGGGGCCGGGGCGGCGCTGCTCCAAGGAGACGGCCGCTGGGCAGGGGTGAGTTCCCCCGGCCACGGAACTTGTAACTCACGGAGGAGGTGAAGCCTGGACCGGAGGCCCTCACCCTCCAGCGTCCAGGGCCACGTGGCTCTTCACCAAGACACCCTGAGAGCCAGAGGCGCAAAGGCCCGCAAAGGCCCGGCTCACTGCCAAGGTCAGTCTCCCTGACAACAAATCAGCCCGGGACGCGCGTGGAGCCCGGGGAAGCGCATGCTCCACAGCACGCGAGGCCCCACACAGAAGCCTTGACTGCGGAGAACTGGCCCGGCCTGAGGGCGGGCACTCGGCTCCACCCCGACGCTGCAGCACATGCCAGCACGCCCGTCGCTCCGCGGTACCCGAAGGCGGGAGCAGTGACAGGGCACAGGTGCAGAAGGTGCCGAGGTCCGAAGCGCATCTGAGGCGTGTCACAGGACCCGGCGCGGGCCCGCCCAGCCCCCACGGCTCTGTCCGGAGCCTTCTCTGGCTCCTGACGCCGGGCACGCTTCCGGGTCTCTGTGCAGCACCCTGGGGCGGGACGGCACCTGCGGGTGAAGGCGGCGTCCGCCACACGTGCACCGCCCACCAGGCCAGCGCACGTCCGGTTACACCACCGCCCCGCTGGGCCGAGGGGACGGGGAGCCGGGCAGCCACCGACGCAGGGCCGGTGACAGGAGCAGTGAGCACTCAGGCGGCCAGCACCGGGCTGAGGAAGGGGCACCCACTGAGACAAGAGTCGGTCTGGAAGCTGTATTAAGTTCTTCAGGAAACCGCGCCTGCCTCACACGGCGCGCGCCGGGAGCGCGGGGACAGGAGAGCACGGGCCAGGCCCGGCAAGGCCAGCGTGGCGCCTCAGCGCGACGCCGCCACCCGGCCTGGGCACACACGGCGACAGGGCGCAGAGAGCCGCCTCCAAGGTCACACGGAGGTGGGCCCCGAGGGGCGCAGGGGGCCTGATGGGCAGAGCAGAAGCGAGAGGAGCTCCAGCAGCGGCAAGAGGCGGCGGCGGCGGCGGCGGCCCTGCCCGCGGCTAGAAGAACGAGGTTTGCGGCCCGAGCCTGCCCGGCCTGCGGGGCCCGCGCCAGCCTGTGCGGGACTCCTGGGCGGAGCTGTGCGGGAGCGCGGCCGGCAGGGGGAGCTGCGGCACACGGCCCCGGGCAGCCGCCCTCCTCTGCAGGCTGGAAGCTGCTCTAGAGCCAACACTTCCGCTCCTCTCCCTGCGAAACCATCCCGGGGCTTGCGGGTTAAAGAGGAGGAGGGCCTGAGCCTGCCTCCCGGCCGGCGCCTCCCCTCGCCTGGGGACCCTTCTCTAAACAGAGCATATTTTACACATAATATCACTGGCTGCACTGCCAAGCACTGGGCCCATCGTCCCAGTGCTCCTCGGGCCAGAGGGCCCGCTGCTCCGAATTCAACGGCAGCAGGGCCCCTCCAGGCCTGGCCCCGGGGCCCTGGGGTGGAGTCGCTGTCCCCTGCCCGGGGCTCTGTGCTTCTGCGACCACGGCCTCCCCAGAGCGTCTGCGCAGAGCGGACCTGGCCCAGGGCCGCACATGACTACCCGCCCTGTCTACAGCAGCAGCAGGGAAGGCAAAGCAGAGGAAGCCGAACCCGAGAAATCAGCATGAAAGCAGGCACAGCCGCCCCCGACCCCTCCCCCCCCCTCCCCCGCACCCCGCACCCCGCACCCCGCACCGGCGGGCATCACTGGGAGCTGGGGCTGTCTCCCTCCGTCAGCGTCTTGAAGTCCATGGACAGGGCTTGCTCCTCGGCCTGCGCAGGCCGCTTCCAGTCGGCGCGCGTCAGGATGTAGAGCACCAGCGCGCCGAAGCAGGCCAGCAGCAGCCCCAGCGCGTTGGCCAGCACGCCCTCCGGCTGGAACGCACTGTACTGGGCCCTGCGGGGCGGGACAGAGGCAGCGCCAGGGGGGGGCTCCCGGTGAGGCCAGGCCTGGCCTTAACCCAGCCCCGCCTCCCGCCGCCCCGCACTCACCCGAGTTTAAACAGCAGCGCCTCCTTCAGGCCCAGCAGGGCTGTGCCCACGGACAGGAGGAAGATGGCGGCGCCGAAGAAGACGTGCTGAGGGCGGTATCGGCTCCGCAGGGAAAACGAAGCTCCAGGGAACAGGAAGAAGCTGAAGCCTACGAGCCACTGGCAGGAGAGAGGCCGCGCTGGAGGCAGGAGGCCGCGGCCCCACGCGCTACCTCTTGCCTCAGCTGCCAGCAGGCCCCCAGCGCGGGAGCCGCGGCTCGCTCCCTCGCACTGGCACACTCGGGCAGGTGGGCACGTGGCCAAACACTGGAGCTGGGTCAGCCAGGAGGGCGCCTGGGATCTGGGCCCCCGTTTCCGCCTCTGAATGAACACGTGCGCCCCCGTGCAGCGGCGGCCTGGCCCCTCCTCCCACCCTCCGAGGGCCGGAGGGACTCACCTGCAGCAGGTAAAGGACAAAGACCAGCAGGCCACACCAGCTGTGCAGGCTGTACAGGTCCGCGTAGCCCTTCTTCTTGTGGTAGTCAAACACGGCCACCAAGCCTGGACCAGAGACCAGGCCACGTGGGCACAAGGCTGGCCGTGGAGAGGGGCCGGCTGGGGTGACCCCCGGGAAACCTGCTAGGCTGAGCTCCAGCTCTGCGGTGCCAGCACCCGGTGTCCCTGGCTGGGACGTGTGAGGGCAGCTGAGGGCAGGGGCAGGGGTGCAGCGTGTCCCGCAGGTGGGGGAGGGCAGGCTGGGCCCAGGAACTCACCCACGAGCGCTATGACGAAGGCGAAGACGTGCAGCAGCCCGTGCACCACCTTGGTTGTGCGTTTGGTCTCCTTCCTGAAGACGCGGTGAACCAGCAGGGCTGGGGGAGTGGGAGAGGGGGTGTCAGCGCGAGGCCGCCCCGGGCCTTCCGGCCACCAGCAGGGCAG